TTGCGTATATTTTAAGCTCTACGGCAGTTTTTGACCATGGACTTAATTGACGATGTCAATTCATCGCAGCTCGGCGCGGCACAGTAGCGCATATTTGATATCGCCGATCTAGCTGTGAGAAGCCTCATTGAGTGCGCGGCGCGGCACAGTAACGTATCGCGCTACAAACCATGGACCAGCTGCGATTATTTCAAACGTAATATTTATCAAACACAATTTAATGTTTATATTTAGTCTCAGAAATCAAAATTCCCCCAAATTATTACCGAATTAATTCAAACAATATACACATTGAATTTTTATAAAAATTCAATATGAAATTCAATAAAAAATCTTAGTAAATTTTATAAAAGCCCTACAACATTTATTATGTAGTAAATTCCCCAAAATTGTATAAAATTATCTAACAAGTATTTTTTTCGTTTGTTTTATTGAGTTTTAATATTTGTTTTATTTATTAATTAATCTATTGCAAATAGTTTCCGGTAGCAATCCGCTAATATAAGTACAAAGTACGACTGTGCGTTCTTCCCGTAGTTCTTCCCGTAGTTCTACTGCTAGTTTGTAGTTAACTGCTAACTACTCAAATATTGTATAATCAATAATTCTATCATTTCATTACCCAGCGTGATTTACCGCGCCAGAATAATGATATGACGCCGCGCTATATCCGTGAACCTACAGTGACTTATATTTTATATTTTGTATCTTTTACTACGTAACGCGAAATTAACAATTAAGTTGTATCACACTCCCGGTTTTGGACCCCAATGTTAACCTTGCAGCAACTGTGTCAGCCCAATATACCCTAGAAGTATGATCACACTTATTTTAATGAACAAAAGACCCATAATTAATATAATCAGATACTCGTCAACAGCAGCAGTTTCCTTACGTGTGATGTGTTGTCCTCCTCCTTTCTGTGTCCCCGTCGTTTTGTTTTGTGAAATGTATTGTAGTAGTGTTTTAATATTTAAATCGAACGCAACTCAATAGTTAATAATAACAAACACAAAAACTATTTTAAATAATTGATTAATATCGATTTATATACGAACCAAACATTAATTATTCTTTAATAACCTTTTATATATGTGTTAAACGATCCAGGGCATATCTAAAATTCGATAATGAACTTCATATATTATTAGTGCCGCGTGCTGATAAATATTCTGGGAATCAATCCACCCAATCGTGGCGATAACATATTTTTGTGCTTGGCCGGTTTTAGGTTTGAGTTTGTGCTCCAAAAGTGGTAAATCGGGTGCTAGTAAAGCTCTTGCAGGCAACTGGCTCTTTTTGCCAACTGCTTTTGGTTTAAGCGCTGACTCACATTTGGAACTGGCACTGGTATAATTGTAATATCCTACGAAGTCAGCATGCTATATTATTTTGCAAAACTCGTTTAATATCTTGACAATATTTAAAGTTTATGGTTTTAGGTTTAGGCGCGGCGCACGCGCCGCTTATATGTTATAGCTCATTCAGCTTCTGTTTTCAGCGCTGTGTTGCTACACACTGTATAGCATGTGGGTCAAGCGCGGTGCCGCGCCTAAACAGCAAAAGAGTTATTTATTTTAAAATTTATTTTTGTATCTCAAAAATGATGTAAAGTTTTTAATATGACGTAGAATTAAAGCTATTTCCGTACAGCCTAAGTGCTAAGCATGCTCGTTAGAAAAACTATGAACAATGAACATAACATGCTAGCTTTCTTTATTTTTGTAAGTCGCGTCGGCTGACATCTTGGGTTGTACTGGATGTAACAAGTTTATTATCGGATGTCTACTTATATTTATTATGATATCATTATTCATTGTAATGGCAATAAAATTTAAATTTTGTTTTACTTAAAAAAATTTTGTTTTACTTACTGTATACCGCTAGTCATCCGCTAGCTACCGCTTTGACATATGTTGCATGCCACTTTTGCGCACGAAGCGCGTGCCACCGAATTAATTCTGTAAATAATTAAGGTGAAGGTAAGTCAGCTTAATATAAGTTTCCCAGTGAGATTGTGGAAACACGGCTGAGGCCGGACCTTGTGATATTCTCAAGGCCGGCAAAGATAGTTATTTGGTGGGAGCTAACAGTACCATCTGAAGAGCGGATCGCTGAATCGCACGAGTACAAACTCGACCGATACAGAAGTCTGCAGAGTGAGATTCAGGCGAAAGGTTGGTGCTGTTATAATGCTGCAGTCGAAGTTGGAGCTAGGGGAGTGGTTGCGCAGAGTTTGGAGAGAGCTGCGAGGAGGATTGGTTTTAAAGCAAGAGAGCCGAAGAAGCTGGTACGGGACAGTGGGAAAGAGTTAGCTCACTGTTCCAGATGGATCTACTTGTTGTCGGGGAGGAGGGAGTGGGAGTTCAGGAAGGTTGGAGCTTGAGAGTTCACTATTACATCTAAAGGTACCATAAACGTTATCTCGTCGCCAATTGCGAGCTCTAACGGGTCTCCTCAAGTGACTCTCGGATCAGATGGTGGTTCAAGGGTGGACTGCTGGGGCGCCTGACAGGAAACCGTATTGCGATTAAAGCCCCGAAACGGTGTCAGGTTGGTAACTGATGATTCTGATCCATGCTCCTATGATTTTGCTGTTGTATCTCAACTCGCTAAACTTAAACATCTCCGCATCTTGGGTGAATATGTGTACATCTTCATACTAAACCCAGGTGTGGCATGTGTCAGTGAATACGGGCGAGCGGATGTAATATAGCAAAGGTGGTGTGGCAAGGCCTAAAAGACACAGTCAGATAGTTGTCAGCTCGCTGACTGTAAGGGAGAAGGTATATCCGTATTTCGCTGCTACTGATGCAGTTCTTGATCTGGCAATCAAGGCTTCTCTGTTTTTCGTCTAACTATGTACCGTTGGGCTTGTGGAACCCGTAGGGGGGACATACATAGGTTAGAATGGTTTTGTGCACCAAGGGGAGTGAGGGAATGAGGGTTGAAGAGAGAGAGAGCTAGAGTTGTTCGGGTGGTTAGGATCAGTAGGTGGAGTGTTTGGTTGGAGCCTTCTGTTTTTTGCTGTATAGCATTTCAGTCACTCCGCAGTTTATTAACTGTGTCTCAACTCTATCAACTACCGCTAGATAACCGAAATTTCCGCTAGCTACTGCCGATGAGTGTCATAACTTAATTCTGTCAATAATTGCGGTGAAGGTAAATGCAATTCAACGTGCATCAAGTCAATAACGACACGTATATAATAGCAGTAAATGACTTGTTTTACCCAGTCATCTTAATCTTGAATATACTTTTTTCATTCAGCAGCTCTTAGATGTATTTGTCTTAATGTGCAGTTTGATAATAGGAGCCATTCCGACTTTTGAATTATTACTATTTTTAGATCCTTCCGCACAGCATAAAGATATATTCTTTATCCTCCAGCCAAATCTAATACAGAAACTGCCTCTTCAGTCTTCGTTGGGCATTGTATATCTTGGTGACTGAATAGGTATCTAGGTCCACATTTTAGGCATCCATTAAATGTGGTTAAATCTGAAGCTCAATCATATTTTATAAATTTCGGTATATTGTCCATTATCCACGTTCTGCTTTCATAGTTCAAACAATAGTGAGTTCTAAATATACAGCTTTAAACCGACTAAGTATGAATGAATGGAATACCTGACAATCCGCACTCCTATAATTCAAAAGCATGAGTAACTCGTAGTGATACGTATGATTTCTAGAAACTTTAAATTAAATTTAGCGCTCACAGGTCCTCGTGATCATGTGATCGCCGCATGAGGTTCTGTAAATGTACGGGGCACCCTCAAGCTTAAATTATTCACCTTACTGAGGCAGTCAACCAACGCGCAGCTTTATTTTTATGATATGATATGTTTTGATTGTTATTAATAAATACCAAAATTTAAATTTGTTTTCCTAAAATTTGTTTTTCCTAATTTGGAGCATCATATCGTGATTCTTAGAAGACCTTAAGTACCTCTTATATGAATAGTACTATACAATGCACTACAATGTATGTAAACTGAAGGATGAGGGCCAAGGATACCCTTACAAAATTCATGATATTTTGGCAGATCCCTCCTCATAAAATCCTCAATCACAGATTTCCCGAACATTCAGCTGAGTTGACCACATGAGATTGATGGGTCTGATGACTGATCATTCAGAACCCCCTCTAAAATAGCTTCCACTGAGATCAGATCATCACTTGCTGGCAAAGCTTTAAAATGTAATTGCTTTGTTAGTCCTCCTTTATATGAGAAGCTGAATCAATACTTTGAGTGAGCACATACAAATTTAGATAAACTGGCTATCACAATTTTTTCTTCTCTTTGCCCTTGTTAAATTATTGCAGTTCAAAGGAGGATCACGGAATTGAGGGACAGTAGGCAGTACACAAATATATTATGTGCACAAATATATTATGTGCTTCCAGTACTTTCAGAATTAAATAAACAGACAAGAATTTGCATATATAATTTTATAATTTAGAGTATGTTATTGTCCACTTGAAAGGGACATTTAATAATTAGTTAAATTATTAGATATGTTAGATTTGATAATAATCTGTTTAACACTTACTTTATGCCAGCCAATAGACAGAAAATGATCTTACAAATTTCTGAAATTTACCAACAATTGTCAACTGTAAGAATAATGGATTTCCATAGACCATACCCTCTTGAAGATCAATCCCCTGGTGCCATGTGTGTACTGCCGCGCCTCCCCTAAAAATATTGATCTAGGGAAATTTTTGTGTAACAGTGAGGTAGCATTGCTATTTTGCCCCCCCCCCCCCCCCTTTGTTCAAAATTTGGGGGGAAAAGCGTTCCCCTCTGTTGCCCCCCCCCCCCCTCAAGGTCTGTAGGGCACTTCATTTTACACCACCTATATTAACCCTATTGTGCACGATTTTAATTAATTCTAAGAGGGAATGTTCAGCAGTTACTTCCAGGATCTTTACCACTTTCAATACCACTTTGGTCATTAATTTACGAGTTTAAAAGTTGATTAATTATTTCGACAGGATGTTACTTAAAAGTACTGCATTTCTGGCATTATTTGTCATCTTGGTGAGTGGTGAAGAAAAGCACAGAGAGAACATCGTTGATAAAGAAAGACGCCACCACGAAAATGAAGCAGGTTGGTTTGAGGCGTTAAATAAATTTATGAATATTTACAATATTTAGTCCTTTTTTAGACAAACATTTCACTAAACTTGAGCTTTCACTAACTTCAAACTTTGCACAAGTAAAATAATATCTACACTGCACGATGCCAAATTTTTTTACATAACGTAAAATGTACTGTAATATTGAATTGAAGTTTTATGTAAACGGTTATTTCAGATGTAGATCATGAAGCATTCCTGGGAAAAGATCACGGACATGACTACGATGATATGGATGAAGATGAGAGCAAGGCTAAACTAGCCGCACTTTTGCCGAAGTGAGACGAATTAATTTCATTAGTTCCATCTAATTATAAGATTAATATAGTTTTTCAAAAGTCATCTACCTACGATTGATTTTTGATAACTCCATCCTTTTGTAAACTCAACCGTTAAATATTTTGCTATTCATTTTGGGTTATACACAAACCTTCTAGCTTTAAAACATCCTTCAGAGTTGATGCTGACGGTGATGGTGATATTGATGAAACTGAGCTGAAAAATTGGATCAAGTTGCAGATCATGGATTACGTTCAGAAAGACGCTCAAAATGTAAGCCTTAAATATTATAGTTCGTACTTCGTAACACAATTAATGATGATTCAACAATCAACATGAGCAGAATAAAGTGCACTATAGCGTTATTGTGTACTGAGGTGTTATTACGAACCATGATGCCAACAACACAATTATCTAGGCCCTGCCCAATGAAGATACTGATAAAGACGGTGTTGTGACGTGGGAGGAATATGTTACAAACACATTCGGGGAACAATACCTCAACAGGGAGGCCGGTGAAGATGACGGTAAAGATGACGGTAAAGTTGACGATGATGATGATGACGATGAAACGTACGCCAGGTTAGTTTGGGGTATCTTTAGAAATATTTTCGATCTGAAGGGGTTTCTTGTTTATTGAATTTATAATACACAATTTGAACACAAGCACACAACTTTATCTTAAACTCCTCAAAACCACTCACAAAAACCCGGTAAATCACTTTACACTATAAAGTTTTACTGGCACTAAAAACTATGAATCCAAAGTGTAGATTTAACTTGTAATCAAATATTAAGTAATTGCTTTTTGTCAACTCTGAAACTGCTCCACTAGATACGTTAAACGAGACAAGCAGAGGTTTCAGCTGGCTGATCAGGATGATGACATGAAGCTGACATTTGAGGAATTCACTGCATTCCTCCACCCTGAGGAATTCGAACACATGGCAGGTAAGATTGATTCATACTAATTGGTATGTAATCACATCTCATCTAAGTTTTTTGGTATATCTAAGTTACTGGAGCTCTCTACAAAACCCTTTGTGAGGTGTTATACCTACCACCCCCCCCCTGGCCCTGGGTTAGACCTACCCCCCCCCTGGGTGGTTGCTGGGGTGAGCTCAGCAGGTAACAAGTAAGCCTATCAACTGATTAAGAGGCTCCTAGTTACTGACATTCTTACTAGCTAGTAGCTAACCCGGGTTATTCTTTTGTGTTTCCTGTTGAAACTAATATGAACTTCTCATTTTTCTCCTGCCCAACCAAACTACTCCAGCTTTTAGAAAACATTGCGGTGAGTAGCTTCCTGGACTAGTCCATGTCTGGTGTGAACCATGTCTATACTCTCGTGTGAACTGTGGTCTGTGAGTGTACACTGTACAGTGTACAGGGACACATGTCTATACAGTATACTCTGGTGTGAACTTTGAGTGTACGCAGTACACTGTACAGGGACACGTGTACTTGTTCAGTTGAAGTAGAGAAGTAGGTAACTTAAGGCCAATAAATTTGGTTACAAAAATGTTGGTTACCATAATTTTAGTCAAAAATTTCGCACATTTTTAGTCAGCAACAATTCGACTTTTTGAGACCATTTGCATTTTCCATTCCATCTATTTGGTTTTTCCATTATTTAGCTAGTTTTGAAAATATTTCGCACATAAAGTCATATTCATACTTTAACGGTTTATTATAACATTTAATAGGAGCGGTTTTAAAGGCTAAATTCTAGAAGGGGACGTTTCACAGAATTACTTTAATGAGTTAAAATATATGCAGATACTGCCTGATGGGAAAAGGAAGTAAGAGAATGTGAAAGCATAGAAGCAGTGGATTACACGTGTAATAGTCAAACTTCAAAGTAGTGTCATTATATTAATTATAAACGATGTATCACTTCGAGATGGCCAGGCCTACTCTCATGCTGTCTATATGTGATGATTAATTCTGAAAAACTAGGGACAACTGGGGAATGATCCCAGAACCTCGAGATTTCGCGTCTCTTGCTCTACCAATTGAGCTACTGACCCTGATTCTCAGAGCGAAATCACCACTCAAATACAGCACAACAAATAACTGATAAACGATGTAATAAACTATGTGTGAATGTACTATACGTAATCTCTATAATCCATATCTATGAACATTTACTTGACCTCAGACTCAATTGTTAGTTAGCAGAATTGTAGACTTAGCGTAGAGATAACTAGTACTCCGTTTTATAGATCTACCTTATCGGACCTTATTTGGACGGACATTAAATGAACGGACATTATTATGAACGGACATTAATGTGAACGCTAGAAGGCATTCAAAACCATCAAAAATCCGAATTTTGTTCATTTCTTTGGCGTTTTTTTATACCAGCTAATGTTCTTTAAATCCATTTTTTTATACAATAGCATATAGTATAAGCGTCTTAATACTCAATACTCAATATATTACATTGCAGCAGCCGACCGCAATACAGAACAGTTTTAAGTTCAACGTGCAATTTTTATTTTTGCATTTTATTTTTACGAAAACCTACTATTTATTGTTACTAAAACAATAGCATATAATATAAGCATATCAATACTCAATACTCAATATATAAATATTACATTGCAGCAGCCGACCGCAATACAGAACAGTTTTAAGTTCAACGTACAATTTTTATTTTTACATTTTATTGTTACATTTTATTGTTATAAAGATCAGGATTTATAAGGCAGCGGTTTTGACAATATTGTTATATGGTAGTGAGGTTTGGAACACAACCAAAAAGCAGCTACATCGCTTTGAGGTGTTCCATCAGCGTTGCTTGAGGAGAATACTTAGGATAAGATGGCTCGATCGGGTTAGAAACACTGAAGTGCTGGAGCGTGCAAAGATAAATCCAGTAGAGACGTACATAGGAGCAAACCGCCTGCGTTGGTTTGGCCATGTCACCAGAATGCCAGACACTAGGCTTCCTAAGTACCTGCTTAACTGGACCCCTGCCCATGGGAGAAGATCTAGGGGCCGTCCAAGAAAGAACTGGAGGAAATGTTTGCTGGAAGATGCTGCATCGTTTACAGGAAACACTGACATAGACCTAGAAGGAGCGAGCGAGATGGCTAGTGACCGAAAACTTTGGAGGGAGATGATACGTCACAAACGGGAGTTCATTGGTGCAGGCCACTCGAATGATTGAGGAGACCTAATCAAGTAAGTACAAGTAAGTAGTTTTATTGTTACTAAAACCTAATATTTATTGTTACTAAAACAATAGCATAAAGCATATATAATATAAGCATCTCAAATCTCAATACTCAATACTCAATATATTACATTGCAGCAGCCGACAGCAATACAGAACAGTTTTAAGTTCAACAATCAACCTACCATTTTAATTTTTAATTTTGTTTGTTACGAAAACCTACTATTTATTGTTACTAAAACAATAGCATATAATATAAGCATCTTAATACTCGACACTCAATATATTACATTACAGCATGGCAGCCGACCGCAGTATAGAACCTTTTTAAAAGTTCAAAAATGTATTATCAAATTTACTTACTTAGTTTTATCATTTGTTGCTACTATTATGTACTAGCGGGTTCAAAGGACAATAGACGGCGCGGAACTTATTAACATTTTGATCTTAGAAAAATATTTTAATACTCTTCTATTATTTCAATAAAGTTGTACTATTAAGGGGTCGTTCACATATTACGTAATCAATATTTTGGCAATTTTTACCCCCCCCCCTCCGTAATCAACCGTAATCAAGACCGAACCCCCCCCCCCTATATTACGTAATCAAGATTAGTAATTGCAAAACACTTACTAAACGGAAATTTGTTTAAAAAACGAAAATTTTGATTACATAATTAACGAAAATTGTCCAGTTGCAGTATTCACATACCTTAAATCAGACCTTATTCGGACGAACATTAAATGATCGGACATAATTATGAACGGACATTAATGTGAACGCTAGAAGGCATTCAAAACCATCAAAAATCCGAATTTTGTTCATTTTTTGACGTTTTTTATTTCAGCAAACGATTTTTAAATCCATTTTTTATACAGTAAGTAAGAATAGCAGTCGTTAAGCAGTAAAAATGTTAAAATATGTTTACATGATCAGTGTCTAATATCACATATAATCATCTTCATCAAATGGGTGTTCGTGCATGAAATAGTCCATGCTTAAAGCATCAGTGATTTCTAGCTTTATGGAAACCTTTTTTATCAAACTACCCCGGTCCTGCATTTCAGTGTTAACTTTTACAAGCCATTCGGCGTGAAGTGGTTTTATCTTAGACAACTTAAGGTTAACCGTAATCACTTGGAGTTTTCCTAGCACTGTTTCATTACCTCCCCTGAGTAATATGAACTATAACAACGTCGGACAATGTCCTTGGCAACACGATTTACCGTAATGTCTAGAGGCTGGAAAAAGTTTGTCATGTTGGCGGGGACTAACTCATGAACTATGTTGTTGAGTGCCATAATTCCGTTGACTTTTTCCGCCAAGTGACCCTTGAAAACCTCATATACTTGTAGGGTTTTCTGTGCCTCTGGCAGACCAAGGAGAACCTTTCCTTCGTTAACTTAAGGCATAATAAAGTTCTCATAATTGTCATATTTTGGACAAAAAGTTCAAAGTGGAAAAATGTTTGAAAATAATTCAACGGACTTTAACTTAGACGGACCTTAAATGAACGGACATTAAGATGAACGTAAGGGCCTCCAGCGCGAGCGTCCATTTAATGTCCCTCCAAATAAGGTCCGATAAGGTAGATTGTGGAGTACGCTATATAAATATCTACCACAAACCACACTTTATATTATCACAAACGATGGATACTTTTGAATTAGGGCAGATCTCAGGACTCAGAAGTTTTTAGTTTACTTTATTCATATTTCATGGTGTAAGTAAGTAAGTATCTCACACTATTCTCCGTATACTCACTATTAGCTAAAACCTGGCTTGGTGCACCAAGCACTAGTTCTCTGTAGTAGCACGGCGTTATCGTAATATCTATTATAACTTTAAAGTACTACTACTATAACCTGTACAGAGTGTACACTGTACTACTAATATCACAAGTCAAGATATTACTTTAATCGAACAAAAATATAATACAGCACGTGACGTCACAGCTAGGTCCATTAACCTGTCACACTTGGCATATTATAATGATTAAAGATATAAAAGGATGAAGATTCAGGTAACAGTACGATATAATAATCTCACCAATCACCACTGTTCAATGGTATCAGTACTGAGTACGGTCACTGGGTACTGGGTAGGTACCATATTGAATAAAGTCAGTTTATATACTACAGATCGTATTGAATAGAGTGCAGCTCTGTGAGGTTATTAGTGTACTGTATGCACGTGGATGATGCAGACAGAGCACCAGACCTGGACTTAACTAGAATATTCTAGACTCGACAGTCGACCTGGACATACATTAAATGCCTACCATCATACATTGCATACCTAATCTACTGTAATTCTTGCAGTGCTCTATTATGCAGTAAGATCACAGTGACTGTATGGCTGGATAGTAAAGTTTACCGCTATAGATACGGACTCTTTCAAGATTCGTGTCGAAATCTGAAATCGAAATTCTTGAAATTTGATTTGCATCTCAAATTGTAATTCATAAGCTAGAGTTTAAACAGTTTGTATTTAAGAGCTGCACTCAAAGTTTGGACACGTATCATATCCACGTATCATATCCACGTATCCTATCCACGTATTTTATCCACGTATCCTATTCACGTATTTTATCCACGTATCATATCCACGTATTTTATCCACGTATCATATCCACGTATTTTATCCACGTATCATATCCACTTCAGCTAAATTAATGTCGGCGGATGTAGAGATTATAAGAGTATCATATGTGCTAATCGGGGGGTAGCTAGTGTAACTGTTTGTAAACAACAAAAGAGTGACTCTGATTCCATGGGACACGTAAGTTAAGAAACTTCCTCACTCGCTGTGTTCTGTTAACAATGCTGGTATATTCCCAATAACTGATCCATCATTCAAGATCTTGGTAATTCACAGTCCTCAGCGACAAGCTACATATTCCGGGTTGTGCTTTTGTAATACACTCACTGGGGGGGGGGGGGGTGCTCTGTTCTTTTACACTTATATTTAGCGAACTGCTATTATTTATGGACAGTGGACACGGATCTCTCAGAGTCAGTGTAAACTTTAATGATGATTGCAGCATCACGGACAGTATCAGGGGCCGCTTGAGGATCAAGACTATTGTAGTTGGATGAGTTAGTGACAGTGTTTCTTAATGTTTTACTTAGTGACAGTGTTTCTTGGTGACAGTGTGACTGCTGCTCAATGTTTCTCCAGAACTTAACATATCGTTTACAGTACACATCATTAGAAACGTGCAGTTTAAACACAATGTCATGATCCTATGTAATGGTTTCATTCACAGAATGACTGTTCAATGTTCATATGGAACATTCTTCAACACTCTAAATCTGTAAATATCTAATATTTCAACTGGACTATTATGAGATAAAAAGTCAGTGGACCCAGTTTCACAAGTCAAAACCCCGATTTACTGTACAATATTTTTCCGTTCTATTTACCTTTCCCCCGAACTGTACGGTAAATCGGGGTAATGTGCTCGGGTATTAATTATAGGACTGATCACAGCTGTTCTTACAGATTGTAACGCAATTTGTTCGACAAGGGTGATGTCTTTGGGTATTAGGTATATACTGCCTACTGGTCACAGTGTCACAGTGCAAGTGTCACAGTGTCACAGTGTCACAGATCAATGACTCCCTAAACCTCGTGTAATATTAGAAGGGATATCTAGTATAACCACGCTAAGATATTACCCCCAGTTTATTGCACAGTGCATACACCCCAATAAGAGATTTAGTTTCGGGAGCTTGTCCTCTGATTTAACATATTGTTTACTGTAGTTAATACTGTGCTGCATTTTAATACTGTACAGTATCTTAAATATTCAGAATCAGAATATTCAGAAATATTCAACTCTCCGTTCCACATGTCATGAGTACATAAGTAATTAGCTTTAATTTAACACGGAATTTGCGAAAGACGTTAATTAATGATGACGTGTTCAATTCGAAAATTGTATAATATGGTGATATGATGATGCTATGTTGCAAGAGATACAAGACCCCTCTATTATATATGATAAGGCTCCCCACATCCCAATAACCCTCAGTCCGTGTCCCAAACAACTCGGCACACTCCAAATAAAACACCCTCACCCCTCTACGTGTGTGTTATTAATATTGCACATATAATGTTTAATATTATGTTTAAATGTAATGTTTAATATTATGTTTAATATTAAGTTTAATGTTATGATTACTGTTATGATTAATGTTATATCTTCAGGCCAGGTCGTGTTTAATATATTTCAAAATCGGTATCTCCGATGCAATGAAATATGTCTTAATCTAGAGATGGCCTGGTAGCAAACGCAATCTGGACCGGTTTACTAAAAATTGTGGTTATCTAATTTTATCCCATGGCGAAATAATTAGGTACTTGCTTATCTAATAATTATGCCAGAATTATGTTGAACTGTTATTAAACACTGATATCTGGATATTATCCGGTTGGAAGAGACAAGGACAAGTGAAACAAGGAAGTTAGGAGTAAGGGCAAATTTTCGGCGTCAACGCCATCTTCAGGCTCAATAAATGTATTTAATTGTAGTTGTGAAAAAAGTTTAAAAACTTTTTTCGCAACTACAATTAAATACATTTATTGAGCCTGAAGATGGCGTTGACCAGTGGCGTAACGTTGCATGTTGGCGCCCCCCTGCCGAAAAAAGCGCCCCCCTGTTGGCGCCCCCTCCCCTTTTGGTGCCCCTCCCTAAAATTGAACAAATTAGGTGATTTTAGAGAATACGCCGGTAAAATCTCTAAAAAAGTGTGTATCTAGAGCAAAACGCGCAGTTTTGCTAGTACTTTAGTTAAGTTTTCGAAATTGTCCCACATTCAAACGACGATTTGGCGCCCCCCTAAGACGGCGCCCCCCTGCACAGCGAGGTCAGCAGGGCCTTTCGTTACGCCACTGGCGTTGACGCCGAAAATTTGCCCTTACTCCTATCTTCCTTGTTTCACTTGTCCTTGTCTCTTCCAACCGGATAATATCCAGATATCAGTATTTCAATCATGAGACTAATAAACAGCGAACTACTCCGTTTTTTGATGTTATTAAACAATCATTTTCTTCAGATGTCGTGATTGCGGAAACAATGGAGGATATGGACGAGAACCAGGATGGTAAAATCTCACTTTCAGAATATGTCGGAGAAATGGAAAACGACGATGACGACGATGACGACGAAGGTGATGACTTTTACCAACATTTTAATTCATTAATTTATCAAAATATATGCGCTCAGGCATCATTCATTTGTTGCTCCATAGATTTTAGAGGCGAGTTTGACAAATTCGTTGACAAATTCGTTTGACAAATTTGTTGACAAATTATTGATTTTCTTTTGAGTTTTTGTGTAATTAGCCTCAAAGCTCAATCATGGCATGGCAAGATCTGATCTCCATTTAGTTAAAGTTGTATATTCGCACAGAGCTGTTAAAATGTTAGCCTCCAAATTGGATTTGAAATACAACTTATCTGGACCTCATTTTTGAGCTAATGATTTATCTTACCGCGGTAGCAAACAATGTTATTTTATCATCGACCCAGCCAGAAAGTTGACACTCTGCACTTATTTACTCTCTCTAGCTATCGACCTAATGACCCATTATCATCTAATCATTTATCGTAACATCTTTTTTCTTAAGCTATTTACGAATATCAATGTCTGCCAGGTCTGAAGCATCGTTTAGCACTTTTCAGCCAATACGAAGAAGGCGATTACTACACGGATTCTAAAGCGCCATCCCTGTATTAACCACCAGTCGTTAGCTTTACCATTTGCCTGCAATTATATCATCCAAAGCCTTAGTAATTAAATAGCGGAACAGGTTCTAAAAGTACTAGCAAGCTATCACTAGTTTTTGGACCTTAAAATCTGATAGCATTTCGCAGTGCGCAGAACACAGTGGAAAATGTTGGCCATTTCGCAGATTTTATTTTTGCAGCGATAATCGCACTCCCTCGCGATTATCGCGCGATAATCGACTCCTTGTGCGATTATCGCCTCATTTTGCGATTATCGCGCGGTTATCGCCTCATTTTGCGATTATCGCCCCCCCTTGTGCGATAATCGCCTCATTATGCGATTATCGTGCGATTGTCGCCTCAATTTGCGATTATCGCAGTATATAACGAGAACCTAGCTGCCACATCTACAGATCTACTGGAGCCATTTCAGATTTTCAGTGGTAACATAAGTTTATAATTAAAGTTAAAAGATTAACAGCAGTCGAATATTTAGAGTTGACAAATTGACAAAATGCTGCGTTGACAAAATGGCTACGTCAAATGATCAAATAGTTACTCTATATGATTCAATTGTAAGCCCACATAATTTAATTTTGGTCAACGTTGATTAGCGGGTTTTCATCTTTAAGTTAATATATGATTCATCTCATGTTCGTTGACTAATTTACCTATTTCTAGCTAGAATCCAGAATTCTTCCAAAATATCGAGAGCTCAGATTAGACTGAGAGGGGACTTTTTGTTGTGACTTCCCTAGTCACCGCTTATTGTGCGGCCGGGCGCGTCATGCCCGAACCTCGACAGCCATCATCCCGAACCGTTTATATTATCTGACAGCCGCTTTCAAATGTGTTTAACTTAACGATTAGATTTATATTTTTAGAATACTTTTCCGTTAGGCTTATAGCATGTGATCACCTCTAGGGCTCAGGTTACCATTTTGACAGTTAATTCAATGCTCATAGTATGTCCTGGCCTTATCGTTTAACTTAGATCTGATTGCTTGTGACGAGATGATGTATTTCGTTTGTCTCTATCCATCCCGGTTACGAGGCCTATCGAGCTGGAACTGTTACTTAAGGGTGCCCCAGTGAGGCACACTTTATATATATAATAATGATAACATATACACTAATTTGATCCATCGGATATTAATATTCACGTCTAAGTATTACTGCTATGAGTATGACATAGTGTATTCCTGCTCGCATCAGAGTTATTTCCGATGTCATCCCAATTCAGTTATCTAAGGTCTAATTTTTACCGGAGAAATTGTCAGCTCAATCGTTATCTTCGATTCAAGTGATTCCTTGCGCTCAAAATTGTCCCGCACTCGTCAAATTACATCCTCTGAGAATTATGGCGAAGTGGACAAAATTGAATCACCCTCGCGCGGCGACAAAAACTTGCGTGATGCGCGGTTTCAGTCGCAGTCACTACTATAACGAAAAAATTTTAATGGCAAAACATAAGCGGCGTTTTACATAATATGTGGCGAATATCATTATTGATCAAGTAGAAAATATGAACAGAGGGTGAAGCATCACCAAATTAACAATCTTTCAATTTTAGGCATATAGCAGATTGTCCCAAACACTAAATCCATCATGATTGACCCATTTCAGTCACACAGCTTGGATTTCACTTTCAACAGGTATTTCCGTGTTGCTAGCTCGCACTTTTTCACAACTCGGTCTTCGTCATTACGAACATGGTCTGAAAATTTATGTTGCTTACATTTCTGTATTAAAGTGGTGGTCGTCCACATATTATGTACTCCCCCTCACCTTCGATGGTTAAGTAATATATGAACGACCCCTTACACACTACTATTCAACGTGTGGAAATCAAAATTTGATCTCAAACTCAATTAATTCTAAAAGCCCAAGTTATTTCTTACTTGTCATGTGTTCGTGATTCTTAAAAAGGGAGTGAGTACTCTCACCACTCATATTAGCATCAAAGTTCTGCATAATTCCCGCAAAAGTTCGGGGCTTGCAGAGAGCTCTCTGGCTTCTGGGTACTTGCATCAGGTCTTTATGTACCTCGCACAGTGGACAGGGGAACGTCCCATTGCTGCCCATACCCAGCATAGCCCACAGTGCCTTTGTGTCTGCACAGAGAATCATCTTCACATGTGCTCCACAGAAGACAAAGTTCTTGAGCTGTGGTAGGTCCCGGTTAACCACCTGTAATGTTATCTGTCTCATGCCTGTCCAGTTTTTAAAGTGTAAGCTGTTAATACAAATAAGCTCAAGTTGAAGTCTAGATTTCATGAAGAAATACCTTAAATATGACCTCCATGTTCCTGCGATGGTCCGGAGCTTCGGTGTACACCAGCATTGGGTGGGCATACGAGCTGTTACACGAAGGCTGGTTTAGCACATTGACTGCCACTTTAGTGGAGCTCGTGTCTGCGTCTACAAACAGCTTAACATGTATAGTTTTGTCAGTTCCCACATCTAACTGGCCTGGAATATATAGAATTCAGCTGGCTGTTAATGAACTATGTGATAAAAACCGCTAAAAGAACTGCCCACCTTGACCTATTTAAATCAAATTAATTTTTTGTAAACAGCTCTATAATCTCTAGAAATTTGAAATACCGGTATTCTTCAAGGTTATAAGTGTTTTGGTTAGCAGTTCCTGTCCATCACAGTAGGCTACTGGGGTACGTCTTGCTAACAGCTCACCACTTTTAGTTTCATTTTTATCATGTGCTGCAGCTTTATGGGAAAGAGAAACCATTGCACTCATATAGTTCACCTTAAAACATGAATGATGTTAATTTTTGATGTACAATATATTCTATATTTCAAAATCTGGGTTGTGCTATGCTATATGCTAGTACGCCATGACACCAAAATGATATATAATTGGTTTTGAGTTCAACTGAGCACTCACGGTGTATAATTCTTCCATTGACTTGATTTCCTTCTCTGATTCCATTTTTATATCATATTTTTTTAGCAGTGGCCGCAGGTTGTTTCGTACATTGGCTGTCCCCGTGTTAGCTAAAAATTGAGTCAGCATTTAATTTATTGCGATGAAATCTATTGCACACTAAGAATTAACTTTTCCACCCGCTAAGTTGTAATGATAATGACAATTTGTATCGTTCTTAACAACTTACATTCAGCTTTGAACATAGCAACATGAAGAGCATCAATTCGTTTCTTACAGTCAACGCCAGCCAACGCCTGTACATACTCCCGCTGCTCTTTAGAGAGTGATGTTAACTCCGCAGTTCGGATCCGTTTGGTCACTGATTCGATATCAGAGTCATTAGATTTTGAACAGCTTGACTCAGCCTGCAAATATTCATGTTGATTGAACTAAATTGCCTGTAGGGATTCGTTCAGTTTCAGTATGGCTATGATGGCAAACTGCGGAAGTGATATACAGTTTAACTTATTACCGATAACGTTATTCAGGATACCTGGCTCTCTACTATATCCTTGAAGACATGAGTGTGCTTCCTTTTAACACTGTCAGCAGGAGTTTTTATTTCCTTGTGCGGCTTAATGATAGTGGTGATGAGGAGGGGTTTTCCCTGTGAACCCTTCACCTCAAAGGTTGCTCCCTCTTCAAAGCACTTATCTAGTAACGACCTGCAGGATTACACGGATGATCACCTTCAGATGTTTAATATTCACAAGTTCAGCTCTTAAATATCCTTTTAAAGTGCTACACTCAACCCACTCTGATCCTACTCAAGTTACGACTGATGATGTTTTATAGTCAAAGATGCAGACAGCCTGTGTCTTATTAGTAAATTACCTCAGCACGTGGTGAAAAAGTTTGTCTCCCGGATCGGTATGTTTGATAAAATCAGCCAACAGTGTTTTCTTCATGTGACCGAATGAGAGCAGATGTTCCTTTACCGTACGGTCGGACAATTCATTCTCTTGTTGACAGAGAACACACGGGCAAAGCATTTTGTTACTATAATGTCCGTGAAGGTTAAGTTCTTGAGGCTAAACTTTACTTGAAAACATTTCAAATGTTGGGATGTGATAATTGATGAAATATCGAGAGAGGGGGAAGGGTGAAAAGAAAGCGAGCAAAAAGAATTAAAGAATTATTAGTATAAATCAAGAGGCTTTCATATGAACATATTGGCACGGGTGTAGAGTTGAGCCTGTACGGAACCTAGTAGTTTCAGATCCTTGTTTAACTTGCCGTACAGCAAGGTCATTCACTACTTTAGCCCTGGCGAGGCACATAGCTCACTCTACAACTCCGTGTCAAATGTTTCATATATACCAGCCAAGTTCACAAGATATATCCTTGTGTTTGAGAAGAGCTCGTTAGAACTGCTTCTTTTCCCTTCAGTATCCCACAGTCTATCAAAATTAGTGTCACAAAATTGGTATCATAAAATTAGTTAATAAATTAGTATCACAAATAGAGTTAATGAATTAGTGTCACAAAAAAAAGTTAGTATCACGGAACAAACATCACATAATTTTTCAAAAATTAATAATAAATTCAGTGTATTTACAAGTTTTATAGTTAAACTGAACCTCCCCAACGCTGTCGGAAAATCTCAGTCGCAGTGAGCTTCTTTTGAGAGGCCTTTTTTTTCCTCTCAGCAGCCATGCGGACTCTGGCTTCTATGACAGATTCGGGCCCCCAGTTGTCCGCACTGATACTGAAATTAGAATGAGTGAGGCAGGGACAGGGAGGGAGGGCCAGGGAGGGAGGGCCAGGGAGGGAGAGCCAGGGAGGGAGGGCCAGGGAGGGAGAGCCAGGGAGGGAGAGCCAGGGAGGGAGGGCCAGGGAGGGAGAGCCAGGAGGGGGGTTCACTGCCTAATACCTGGATGCTGCTGAATTAATCCGTGATCGTGGTTGCACAGCACAGACTGGTGTACCGTGACTGGAACGGGACGGTCTGAAATAAATATGGTGTTAAGATTTCATCACAAATGATATAACGCATCGCCAATCTTCATAAGAGTCCTTTCTTATCAATAAAATAACTAGTTGACTTACCAAAACACCACATACATTAACTCATTTACTTTTATGGCTTAAAAATTTACCCTGGCCCATTTGAACTGACGGAGGGAGTTCGCGAGCGAGAGCGGATGGGGTCAGGGGTTCTGATCAGGATACTGCTGCAATATTTAGATGTGTTATATATCAGTTTTAAATTTGACTAAATATTGTTAGCCTGGGTACAAACATATTACATAACCCTGGCAATAACATTACAATGGAATTAAACTGCATACTAAATGACGATTTTCAACCATTTCAAAAACATTGGACACCGGGTCATATTTATTCTGCTATGCTACCTGACGGGTGCTGGGGTCGGAGAGGGTGCTTGGTGGAGGAGGAGATTGGTCCTCATCTCCGCAATTTCCGCCGCCTTTTCGTCCAGGACATGCCGCATGGCATTGGTCACACAATCCTGAATATCACTATTTTAACAGCTTTGTTTCAACAGGGATTCAGTGGATCTCATATCATGACAGATGAAATTTGATTGTTCATATGTGATACAGGTGCAGCTTACCTTGCAGTGCAATGCGTGCAGTGGATCTGTCTGGGTACCAGCAGCAGTAACTGGGGGATGATCCGATGCTGCTCTCTGCTTCACTGCTGCCCCCTTCCTCTTGCATTTCTTGTCAACAGCATATTTCTTATATCGTAGCTGGACCTCCCTCACCCAATCAGAGTGTACGCCACTTCTGAAATGTATTCATCTCCTTAATGATTAAAGAACGATTTTTACAAAAGATATATCGATCAGAGTTGTCATTTGTTAAGCCATGATGTTTTGCGAGAACTTCTCTAGTTCCTAATAAGAAGTGAGGCAATGGCAAGTGATAAAAACTTATTTACCCTCGATATGGCAGAAACGTGCCACAGCTCGTTTTATTTCGGGAACCGCTTCGAGAGTAGGGAACCTGGCTCTCATTGTGCCAGAAGAGTAAAATTTGGGGGGGGGGGGGGGGGGGGGCCCACCCGCCAACCCTATTAAAGTCTATTAAAGTATATCCCCGGGTCCAAAATCGGAAAAAATCCTAACATTTTTAAATATACTTTAATATACCTACAATTAGAAGATTTATATAATTTCACTTAACAACTCGCTGCAGATGCAGGTCGAGTCAGCAAAAATGTAGGTAAGAGGAAACAAACAAGTTCGATGTATAATAACTTTCAACCAACATCTCCTGCGGAAGCCATCGGAACCAAGTGGTCTTAACTGTCGTGTTACGTTAACCTCTGCGAACATTTCTGTCCTGACATGAGGGGGTTCACGGGCTCACTATTTAGAGAAGACCTATATGATAACGTGACTTAATCTTCGTTCTTATATCAACCAACAAATTCGACAACTCCCAGTTAATTTCGAGCGAAGAGCTGGTCAGCATGATTACGGTACTTCAGGTGAAATAAGTGTGATAGGGCCATTGCGCTAAACGAACAATAGACACACGTTCACTTGGTGACTAATGATCCATCCTGATTAACGCACTGTGTGTAACACAGGTCTAACATCTTATACACTCTTACAGAAGCATAATATCTATATGATCGAATCCCAGCACTCTCACTTTTGAAAACGGAAAGCATCGAAGAAAATACTCTATAATCAGGTCCACATACTAAGAGTACAAACTCCAAAACCAAGTAACAATTGGCTGGTAACTAAGCCTAAGTGAGCGCCTAGTAGAGCGCAGATTCATAACTAGGGATTTCGTAAATTCAAATCCCACCCACAAAAGCTGCGCGCTCACCGCGCGTGTCAAACACTTGAAAATGAGACAGTAATAAACTCGTGTACTATTTGAATATATCATATCTGATATACAAATTGCCATCGCAGACAGAATGAAAACCATATGTGTATGATTCAGATATATTATTCATTGAAACGAAAATTATTTCCATAGCGGGCATTACTAGATTAATTTTCCTGAATTACAATTGAATAGAAGGTTTAAATGTTATGGTTTCGGTTTGATCGGTAGGAGTGGCCAGGTGGTCAGCATTCGTAAATAAGCTAGTTTTGCGGCCGTTAAAACAGGGGTGAAGAGGAATGAAATATAGAAATAGTGAATGTTGAGCTTGTGTCTTACTATTCAAGCTTTAAGGCTATATTAGGTTTGATGTAAAAAATAGATATATTCTGGTGAGGCAAGGGTCAAACATCAAAATGAAAATGCAGAATCGCCTCTGCGTCGCGCGTCAGGCTCAAGGTTAATATATAGGTATCCAAATACTAAATTTTTTTATTTGCTGTCTAAAACATTAATTTCTGATCTCATGCAGTGAATCTAGAATCGAGTTGAACTGCAGTATATACAACAACATATGTCAACAATTACACTACATAAAATTCCACTATAATGCACGTGAAGCACTCCGCAGATATCATCTTTAACGCAGATTACTCACTATCTCTAATAAGGCGAAATTACTCGCTACTGCATTTTAGCACGATACTCGCCATGTATAGGCAGATAATCGTGCGCAATAATACGCATGTTCCAGGCGATAACAACGCGATAATACGCAAATTGGCGGCGATAACACGCGAAATTGCACATTAATCCGCTTATTTATCTCAGAACTAAATCCGTTAGATATTTTATCCACATGTCGATGAATCATGCATAACACGATTCGCGCGCCCATAAATTCCCTGCGAGCATTTTGACAGATATACTCATTCAAACAACGTCAAGCTATCACCGACCCATTTAAATTAATACCTCATAAACCGCTTAAAATATTCACCGCATAATACACTGTATTAAATACAGCCACACGAATGTCTGTATGATTGGGCCCCTTATACTATATCACCCCTGGTACAATTGATATGGTTCTCATCGATGATTTCAGATGGTAGAGCGAGAAAGAAGAGTTTCCAGGAAAAACAAAGACAAGGACCACGATGGTTACCTGAGCACGGAAGAAGTAGGCTGCCTGGATAGTGCCCTCTGAGATAAACTACAGTCTGGAGGAGGCACAACACTGCTAGAGGTAATATATTCTCTGTTTAACCAATTAGATTTTCCCCCGATTTTTGTATGAAGAGGTTATTCGATGGTATATGAAGCCATTATAGTTGATCCTGTTACACACTGGCGTACCCAAAGATGACACACCAGAATGCATCTACGAGTATCGAACTACACCCACAGTGACAATGTTGCTACTAAAACATCTGCTGGTCAAAGGTCTCTGTAGCTTAAATAGTCCGCAATTAGTGATACTTCTTGAAAGAAGTAAAAACTGTTCCATTATCACGTGACACTAATATCACGTGACACTAATATCACGTGACACTAATATCACGTGACACTAATATCACGTGACACTGATATCACGTGACACTAATATCACATGACACTAATATCACGTGACACTAATACCACATGACACTAATATCACGTGACACTAATATCACGTGACACTAATATCACGTGACACTAATATCACGTGACACTAATATTACGCGACACTAATATTACGTGACACTAATACCACATGACACTAATATCACGTGACACTAATACCACATGACACTAATATCACGTGACACTAATATCACGTGACACTAATATCACGTGACACTAATATCACGTGACACTAATATCACGTGACACTAATATGTCGCTATTTCAGAAAGCGGACACTAACAAGGACGGGGTTCTGTCTTACCAGGAAGTGATTGAGCACCACGAAGTGTTTGTTGGGTCCCAGGCTACCGACTACGGCAGGATTCTCCATGAGGAGCTGTAGGAGTCTCACTGAAAAAAGCTGGAGCAATTTCAATCAGAGATAGTACTGTCTTTCAAACAGTATAAGAGACACATCTCTCTTCAAAGCTGTCTCTCTCCTCAACAGTTCAGGAGACATGTCTTCCTCCTTGCAGACTGGTTGATATTACTCCACTTTATCATGTTGGTTATGTAAAAGGGCTGGAGACAATTTCTCGCTGATTTTGAGCCATTAGGCTAGGAGTGCTTTCTTTACGCTGCCCCCTATTCATTGACTATGATACGCTAGTTAAATATTATTTATACAGTATATCTTTTGCCAAATTTAGTATTATATGTATAAAGAACTGAAAATAGGTAATGTTTATTTTTTCGTATCGGTAATTTAGCGGTTGTCATATTAATAATACATGTATATTTTTTGATGATATGATGTAAATTTGACATTTATTTCACCCGAGTTTTAAAATTAAGAGTGTGTGCGACCTATTTTACTTTTAAACGGTTTTTGGAACGAGGAACAATTCCATATTTATTTTAATTACCTCATTTATTAACCTTATTATTTGAACACGATAATTGTCATGACCATTGAGGATGGTGGAGTTCAATATTTATATAGTTATAATTGTTTTGTTCGTGTTCTCTTTTCTAAAGGCTACCATACGTATTATAATTGGTAATCTATAATGCTAATTTATTAAGTTTAATTAAACGAATATTCCGTGACCAACGAGTTTCTATTGTTTGACCCCGCTGTCCTTAAAAGCTGCACCACTTAAACAACACGTCATCGGTAAATGGCCATCATGGTTTGATGAACTATAATCAACGAAATATCAAGTTTCACGTTGCACGGGTAATCAAACGTTGATAACCGATTGGTTAAACGTCCTGAAGGTAAGCGTTCTCATTGGTTAGACCATGTCACGTGGCGGTCGTGAGAAACTGTAAACTGTGCACTAGCTGGTATTTAGACAGGTCCCCTCAAGTAGGCCAGCAGTTATTTGTTTGTAATGTGAGCGCCTGTGTCGTGACTTTCATGTTCCATCAATCTGAACGATTCGACACATCTACAGTCGAGGTGAACTGTGCGGAAACCGTTTAACCTGACGACTCCAGCTTCTCTCTCTCTCTCTCTCTCTCTCTCTCTCTCTCTCTCTCTCTCTCTCTCTCTCTCTCTCTCTCTCTCTCTCTCTCTCTCTCTCTCTCTCTCTCTCTCTCTCTCTCTCTCTCTCTCTCTCTCTCTCTCTCTCTCTCTCTCTCTCTCTCTCTCTCTCTCTCTCTCTCTCTCTCTCTCTCTCTCTCTCTCTCTCTCTCTCTCTCTCTCTCTCTCTCTCTCTCTCTCTCTCTCTCTCTCTCTCTCTCTCTCTCTCTCTCTCTCTCTCTCTTTCTTTCTCTCTCTCTCTCTCTCTCTCTCTCTCTCTCTCTCTCTCTCTCTCTCTCTCTCTCTCTCTCTCTCTCTCTCTCTCTCTCTCTATCTCTCTCTCTCTCTCTCTCTCTCTCTCTCTCTCTCTCTCTCTCTCTCTCTCTCTCTCTCTCTCTCTCTCTCTCTCTCTCTCTCTCTCTCTCTCTATCGAGCTTCCAGTGCAATTGTTTAATAATTTCGCGAGCTTTTACATTTTAGGCTCTAGCGGCCAGTTTCTCGTGGTTATATAGTTGCAACAAAGAATGAGATCCTCATGTAAAACCGTTCAACCGTAAAACTGGCTGAGCCTGAATAATTTGATTATCTGAATTCGCTTCTATTTAACACCAGGTGTTCACTTCATAATATATATATATTATATTATATATTATATTATATATGGACACGTTCATTTGAGTTTGAGGATATTGGTAAACAAAAATAATAGCGTTTTCGACGATAGTGGCTTAATTTTGACATCTATTAACCTAGCACGTTCAGAAGTTCTGGACATTAGCCACGTAACACATACTCCCATATGCACTGCTCAGAAAGAAAATCTATTGTTGTTAAGCACTATAATGTTTCAAATGTCACATTTTGTGTGACTTAGTTAACTGTAGTTGTCTAATTATCATTCCTTGGTCTGAAATATAGTAGATTAGGTCAATCTAACAATTATGATAAAACATTAGTTAAAGGGCACGGATCGAACGGTTACAAGGCAATATTTGGGTAAATTTGTCACAGTCAGAATACCATACCTCTATTCTTCTGTGAGGTGTCCTCAAAACCCTTTTAACTCATTATTTGATGGTTGATCTACCAATCATAGCCCTAAAATATGTTTTTCGAATAGTTCGCTAATACAGGCACTTGGTTATTGGGAAATGAGGTTAATTCTGTCACAATATATGGAATTTTAAATTTTGGGCGAATTATTTATATCTGATTTTGATTTGAAAGGCGGGAAAACTTTATATGATGACAATGCAGTTGATGCAAGTTAAGATCAGTTGATGTTTACATTGTCACAAAAAATGATACGAAATCGTAAATAGGTTAAAAACAATGATTATAGAATGAAATAGTCTCTTATAATAACTCTTATAATAACTGATGTGACAAAGTAAACATTTCTTGCCCCTATTTTGAAGATCTATATATTCTGTAACTCTATTAGAATTCAACATTCTTTCAGAAAAAATTGGTAGAATATTGTCCAGAACATCAGAGCTCAAGTTTAACAATTTTAGGTTAAATTTGTCAAAGTCACTAAAAATGTGACAAAATTAACTTTTCCTGCCCCAACAATTTCAAGATAGTGTGTAAAAATTAGCATAAGCTGCTTTATTACCTATATAAATCAATCCAAACTACAAAAGAATATATGTTAATGTGATGACAATTACCTAACTCTAATAATAACTGATGTGACAAAGTAAACATGTCTTGCCCCTATTTTGGATATCTATAACTCTATTAGAATTCAACATTCTTTCAGAAACGATTGGTAGAATATTCTCCAGAACATCAGAGCTCAAGTTTAACAATTTTAGGTTAAATTTGTCAAAGTCACTAAAAATGTGACAAAATTAACTTTTCCTGCCCCAACAATTTCAAGATAGTGTGTAAAAATTAGCATAAGCTGCTTTATTACCTATATAAATCAATCCAAACTACAAAAGAATATATGTTAATGTGATGACAATTACCTAACTCTAATAATAACTGATGTGACAAAGTAAACATGTCTTGCCCCTATTTTGGATATCTATAACTCTATTAGAATTCAACATTCTTTCAGAAACGATTGGTAGAATATTCTCCAGAACATCAGAGCTCAAGTTTAACAATTTTAGGTTAAATTTGTCAAAGTCACTAAAAATGTGACAAAATTAACTTTTCCTGCCCCAACAATTTCAAGATAGTGTGTAAAAATTAGCATAAGCTGCTTTATTACCTATATAAATCAATCCAAACTGCAAAAGAATATATGTTAATGTGATGACAATTACCTAACTCTAATAATAACTGATGTGACAAAGTAAACATGTCTTGCCCCTATTTTGGATATCTATAACTCTATTAGAATTCAACATTCTTTCCGAAACGATTTGTAGAATATTGTCCAGAACATCAGAGCTCAAGTTTAACAATTTTAGGTTAAATTTGTCAAAGTCACTGAAAATGTGACAAAATTAACTTTTCCTGCCCCAAAAATATCAAGATAGTGTGTTAAAATTGGCATAGGATGCTTTATTGCCTATATTAATCGATCCAAACTACGAAAAAGATCTGTTAAGGTGATGACGATTACCTAACTCTTATAATAACTGATGTGACAAAGTAAACATGTCTTGTCCCTATTTTGAAGATCTATACCTCTATTAAAATACTATGTAACTTTATCATCAAAACAATTTCGATAAACTAGTTATTTTGCCAGCAAGGAGCTAACAGAGTTATAATAATTTTTTTGTGACGAAATTACCCTATTTTTGACCATGTTGCGGTAGTTTAATTGTGACACTGTTAACATATTACACCCGATAATGATTTATGTGACTGGCGCATGGTACTAGCAGTGTTGTTTGATCCATAGTACGTAATATAAGGGGTTTAAGCTGGTATATCATTATTTGTTCAATTTCACACATGTTCAGATATCATCAAGATTATGTGACAAAGTAAACTTGTTTGTGCCTCCTGTGTTTTAATTCCTTACGACTATATGCAATATAATAACAATTCCTAGCACTTCCAGGCCATCAAATAAACCTACACTACTCAGCATTGCTTACCAGGGTGCCCTGAACATTCTTCACATATTTTTTTAAATGTGTGACAGAGTAAACCTGAGTGCACCATCTAACGAAAAAAGTCGTCAAATATGTAGGTAATGGTCATATGTACCCATCCAATCAACTGGACACTCAAAAATTTGGTCAAAAACGGCAGCAAGGGGTCCATATTTACTCCGTCACATGTTTATAGTGTGACAATGTAATCATTTACGTGCCGGCCGTATTTAAGCGATATCTTATCACCTGATTAAGATATCGTTATGTGACAAAGTTAGCCTAGAGGATGAGACGATTATCCTAACCATCAAGGGTTTGTGTAATTTCATAGTGTGACAAATTCGACTACACTGTGCATTTTAATAGGGTCACTTATATTTACCAATATCCTCAAACTCAAATGAACGTGTCCATATATAATATATATAATATATATAATATATATATATAATATTACCTGGGGATCCCAGGCTATTATGTTCATAAACGAATAGAGATTCAGCGGAATTACACTTACAGGCTGAGCGCCGCCTAGTAAATATAATATAGCACTTGAAGTAAAGGAATTAACATTGTTGAACCGTTAACGTTAAGTCGTGTGCGATGGTAATAGTTGATAATTTTCTAGTGGTTCTCTTGCCGGTGTCCACCATTAACCCTTTAATGGAACTCAAATACAAAATAGGGTCCTAATATTTTACAAAAGTCGTAAATAAAGTTAATATGTGGGTCATTTAAACTTTTAAAAGGTAAAATTACTAACAACGAGCATTAGTAAATTTAGTAAATTGCAATTTTAGTTCTTAGCTCCTGAATCTTAGCCAAATTATCTCCCAGCCTTGCACAATTATGAGTTGTTGTTCCATGCGGGCATTAGCATTAGTAGTGCACCGACCTTCTAGTGCTCCGGTGAGATAAATGTATTGAACCACTATATATTCTACTTTCTTCTCAGCCAGACACAGTGAGAGAGAATGTGTATAGTTTGCTGTTTGGCAATTACTTTCTGCTATCTCATTAGAGTTAGTACCGTTTTTTTGTAACTATTTTCCGATAAAATTACTCCCTCCATTACCAGTAGTCAGTACCAGTGGTTTTGTTTTTTGCTCACAACACTAGCTGAATGAGAGTGTGTAGTGTGTAGTACTAGTGTGTAGTGTGTATGATCCAGTCCTGTTGAGTAGGTCCAAGTTGTCATTATTAATACTTATATTGTTCAGTGTCGTGATAATAACCTTTCCTAATTCTCTCCTCTCTTTCTTCTGCTGAACTCAATAAAGTTAGATCAGCGACACGAAGGCCCTGTACTGACAAAATAGGCAATATTCGATGTAACTTTCACTTTCAGCAGTTTGCTCTCTATATTGCTCAAGCTTGCAGTCATAGTCCATTAGCACAAGCTTATATTCGGCAGACGCCTGCAAATGTTCTTGACATAGGTAATATGATTTATATTCTGTAGCCCAGCCCTATGAAACTGCAGCTTAACATATTATTTTCATTCTTGTACTTAAAGTTTCTTGAACAGTTATTTCCGCATGCGTATTGTAGTACCACAATTTGAAAATGTCACACCCATTTCATTTTAATTTCAGGCCTGAAAAGTAAAATGGTCATATTTTAACCGGAACGCTGACACTCTCTATTTTCAGCTCTATATCTAGGACTAGTCTAGCAGAGGCAGCGTATAGAATTATCTTCATACAAGTTTTTACAATTAGTTTTTAGTTTTTACAATAAGATGGTTATTTGTTGTGTTGAACTGAATGCAACGTTATATTATATTGAGGCAGAGTGTTCGATATTATAACTTGCCATTGTCTAACTATAACTCTAACTATAAGTATAATATATCTGTATTAATATAATATATCTATATAATATTATATTCGTATTATAATAATATATCTGACCCAATTTCAATCTGTTGACAGATTACAATCCAGCTTGACGAGTAATTCACCTTCTTTTATTGTTTCAATTATCGTTCGAATTTTTGCTGGAGGAAAATTGTCCTATAAGAGTTTTACTGATTTTTAAAGTAATATTTTCTTTCCGATGTTTTTGATGCTGCGACCCTAACCATACTATCATAGTTATGGGCAATTCTCAATCTGATAGAACAAATAACGAACAATGGTGCGATAAAGTGCAGTATTAGGTCAATAGTGCGATTCCGCACCCACCGCACTTATACAATATACATGTATGTTGCCTCTGGGCCTAGTATAAATAACTTTGAAAATCTCCATTCTAGAATTACGAATATTAGCTCTTGTATTACTAATCAGAATTCTAACATTACAAATTTTAACTCTACATTTACCAATCTCGGCTTTAGCATTACTTATCTCGACTCTTATAACCTGACCAATTTCAGCTCTAGCCCGACAAATTTCGGCTCCAACATGACAAATATTTGCTCTAGTAGCTTTATATAATCTCATCATCTTGGATCTTGGATTCATAGATCTTAGAACTTCCTCAATCCTCCCACGTAATGCTGCTAGTTGACGTACTAAATAGTCACACGGCTATATAAGGATTGATTGCTCTAATAGGATACTAAAATTCAAGGAGTTAAAATCGATTGATCGGGGGGATATAGATCATATTACGCTAAATGTTAGAATCAAGCCACCAGTTTAGACGCTATTCTAACTATTTTCTCCAAATGTTCGGTCATAATTTTAAGTATTCAACGATGCATCGTTATTATGAGCTGGTTTTACAGTTGCACCATGGTAAAACCAGCTCATAATAACATTGATTATGTGGATAGAACCAGCTTGGTGCGCCTTTTGTAAACACCACTCAAATTTTATTAATTTGTCTGAGTATTGACTGGTTTTCCGGCCTCCTATTTGCCAATTAGCACTAGGTTGCATTTTGTGTCTCGCTACCACTACGTTTTATTATTGTCCACTCAATTTCACCATACACTATACAGTGTGGCTCTCTTTCAGCTTCCTCCCATTATTTCGCCCTGTCCTTGGCAAATGGATATTTTCCACTGAACACGGGCTTCCGGCTTAATATCAGCTATCCGTGTCGCCTTTGATAACACGAAGTTCTCCTTTTATGAAACTCGATAAGATTTGATCGAGTAATGTTCTCAGTTGTAACCTGACCCGAACCATGTGAACATACCGCCACCCACAAACCACATTCCTTGATATTCTTCGTTGATTCTTGTTCTAAAATTGTTAATCGCAACATAACGTCAGAAATAACATACCTCCACTATTCCCGAAAATCTACTGGATCATTCTTTTTGAGATCATCTCGAGAAACATTATCAACAGCAACCTATGACAGGTTGGATTTACCAGGCAGGTGTTTCTCTCTTTATTACAAAGTTAGAGGATTATAACTCCACCACACTGACTGACCCATTACGTACGGGGGGACCGTGTCTCTCTAGATCACATCACCAGGGCCGCTCTCTTACTCTCTTATCTGATTACTCCCGCAGTTCGGGCTCCCTAATAAACCTCCTTAGTTGTTGTCCTGTTCGTTACATTGTACCCAGGTAGTTGGTCATGTTAGTAACTTAGTAGCACGGTTCCAACAGGTTTCACTCCTGTGTCCTTTTCATGGTTCTCTTTAATTAAACGCAATGCTGGCGAGTTGATTTCATGTGAAACCGAAATTATCATGCATCGATTTTATAATTATACCTGAAGTTGCAATACTCCCTAAAATTAAATCGTAACTTGTCCGCCCGTTCCCCACATCAAATCAAGCTCACGTCGTGACGTCATGACGGTTATACCCTAACATTTTCATCAAACAAATTGTCAGTCGCGAGTTTTCTATGTTGAACTATTCAACTACCACAGTACCACATTAGATCAGCTTACCACTACCATTAAAATTAGATAGTTTTCTAAGCTAGCCTCGCTCTACTCCAGGGTGGAGTGTGGCAGGTGGCTAGCTCTTTTGTTTCTGACTGAGCTGGTCATGATGGTCAAACTACAGTGTGTTAATGTTAAGCAGTAGCACCTTGATATTTGATACCAACGGCCAGACCCTGGATAGTCAGGCCTCTCGCAGGGAATTGTGATGCAGTTATTAAAGTTTAACAATTCTAGTTTTGTAAGAGCATCGTATTGTGTTACGACTCATTATAATTGTTATCTGACTATCAATTCTTTTATGTAACTTTGGAATATGTATGCCTGTTGCGTAATACGTATCCGATCGAAGCACCAAATCTACAAAACTTTCTGTCCGTATGTTCGTTGAACTTCCAGTTCCAGTTACTGATCTGCTGAACAAACCCCCAGTAAACAAGGTGGGACAAGTTGGTCCAAGTAACTGGGTTTGGTCCAAGTTACTGGCTCCAAGTTACTGGCTCCAAGTTGTTGGTCCATGTTACTGTCTCCAAGTAACTGGGTTTGGTCCAAGTTATTGGTCCAAGTTACTGGCTCCAAGTAACTGGGTTTGGTCCAAGTTGTTGGTCCATGTTGTTGTTTACAAGAGTTGTTCTTTGTTCTTTTCAGCGAGCAGAGCCGAACCCTAACAAGTAAAGTTGAAAGTATAAGTATGACTTTTGTTGTCATATAATTATATGACATAGTCTACACAGTCGCAGAGCCTCCTAAAATTATGTGTAATTTGTCTGGAGTTGAGCTCTCTCGCTTAAAATTTCATACTCACGAACGGGCATTACCCGAGCAACAGTCACTTTTGAACGGGCATTACCCGAGAAACAGTCACTTTGCTACATGTTAGTAACGATTTATCATTATGGCAACTTCGTAGTCGCACATCACTCAATGTTCAACTATTAGTTACGAAGTTAGCGCCGTTAACTTTAGTGATGTGAGGCTGCAAAGTTGCCCTAATTTGTTCATTTATCTTAACGCTCTTAGTCTTAGATGTTACGATCTCGTACTATATTATAGTTGCCATAAGCAGTACTTGTTAACGAACGTGCATTGCATAATCCATTAAGAATTCTTCACAGAGTTGACTCTCGGTAAGAACTAAAAAACGTTACGATATAAAACCATATGTCGACGGATATCAATATAAGATAAGATAGAATAAAAATATTGCACTGTATATTGCACGTACAAGTATTCGTATTAATGGATGCACTAGCGTTCTTAGTTTTAGCGTTATCTAACTTGTTCTTTCCTTAAAGTTAAAGAGAACGAAGGCAGGTAAAATGAGTTAAGTGCTTGACAGAGCAAAAAGGCATTGTTAGAATTGACGCACGCAGCGATTTGATCTGTCAATAACCTATCATCAATTTTATGGGAAACTATTTGAATTGAAGGTCTTTCTGGCGCTCGTTTTTGTAAAATTTGTCATGTGATGGCTCAATCTTTGAAAGCCCTTTGTTTCTCTAAGTCATGTTTCCATTTAGTTAAGCTATATCCGTCCAGTATCAGTTCGAATGTTGCTTGAAATCGTTTTGCTTTAGCTTGATATCGTTTAGATCATATTTTAATTATATTACGATTAAGTTTTTTTATACTTTTGTTCACTTTTACACATTTGCTCACATCACTCACAGTCAGCCGCTCTGACATGGTTAACCACCTTGCTTGTGTTGTTGGTTAATCATATGAGCGGGATATAAATACCTCATTTCATTTCATTATATATTTCAGAACTCACTCAAAGAAAACTATTATTTATTACACGCCCCATTCTATCGCTCATTTATATTGTCAACCTGAAAATTGTCCCTGACTTAATGATTTTTTCACTAATCCAGATAGGATCAGAAAAAAGGATGTAGATAGCCCAACCAAATGGAATCCGGGATAAATATTCCTGATATGAATACGGAGACCCTCCCAAAATATAACGGAGGTCACATGCAAAGCCCAGATCCGATAACAGGTATTTTAAATCGGATTTATTTATAAACCGTAAATTAACTGTAATAGTGAATTTCCCTGCATAAATCGAAGGAATGTCGATAAAATAATGTACAAGCAAAACACTAGCAACTTTAAACAAGAAAATAAGAAATGTTCCCGACCAGATGACGAAATGGAACCGGACAATCACAATCTTTCTGACTTAGAAGATGCAGTGGAGAAGGTGACAGATAAACTTGGACTCTTTCTTGAGTACGAATTTTGTAAAATATATTTTGGTAGTTTATATACACTTTCTTAGGGTGACTTAGAAATTTTGCCTTCTCCAAAACTCAATATCATAAGTATGACTTATTTTCAATTCTCAATATTCACTTTTACTTTTAAATTAACCAAAAACTGGCAGAAGGACAGAAAATAAAACGTATAACCTGCCACTCACTCAGGATACACCCAGCAGTTGATCCAGATAAAGTTATCCTGGATCTCTCACCGGACGAGGAGCGAGCCCTGAACAACTCCAACTCGCTTCAACACATGGACTTTCCCATCAGGAACCTGACTGAGATGGTACAGTTCAACTTGATAACTGACCTGAGGGACAGTAGCACTGACTCCTTCCTCAGTAGTAGTGATTACCAGGTAAATATTCAGCTTATTGAGGCAAAATTCAGATCCAATTCATCATTAATTGACTGTAAATTTACCTGAATCGCTCACATTACTGAGTAAGAATAAATAGCTCCTTCAACGACAGAATATTCCCCAGGTGGTAAGTGAGACGAACACGTTTTCTCACCCAGACACCCCTCCCACCACACCCAGTCCTACTACTCAGGAGAGATAAAACCCTCCCACAGACCCAGAATCACAAATAAGGGAACTTAAGAGGCAGTCAAGTGAAGCTCTTTCGGATAGGGTGGTGGAGACTATGAGTTCTATCACTAACTTATTGACTGGAATGGAGGAACAAGAAGGATTCCAGCTGATAGACGATGAATATCGTATGGAGTCAGAAGAGAAAGAAGAGAGTATAATATTAGAATGTGAGTCCCTGTCGGATATTTCGCGGGAGCTGGATATATTGTCTGTTTCTAGTATCCTAGACCTGGATAGTGGAGATGTTCAGATTTCTCCAGTAGAACTAATTTTAGAGCCAGCTCAGTCTGGTGAAGACAGTGGAAACGCACTGGAGAAGCCGGATAATAACGAGGATGAGATCACGGAAGAAACAACTGGAACCATATCTCTAGAAGTGACTGGCTGTGAAACCTGCGAAGAACTCTCAGCGGAGTCTCTGGTCAGTGATCCTGAACCTCTTATCCTCATAACCCCTCAAACTATGGTGGCTGTTCATTCTGCTCCGATTTTAGAGCAAAATTCCTATCATGGTGTAGAAACGTCAAAAACACCATATGATTCTTCAACAGAGGAGTTACTGTCGTTATCACTTACAGATAAAACCGAGGTAGGAACTGATCCCGGATTTAAGAATGCACACAGTATGGATGATAATCAATCTTTGGGAACAATAGATATAACCGTGGATGCTGGTCATATCATTGCAGTTCAAGGAATGGATCTCTCTAATGATAGTTTGGAACTGACGAACTCTCAAATCTTGGAACTAGAGCCTTCTGATGAACTTGCTGTTCCCCTCTCAAATGTAGAGACAAAAGACATACCAGAAGCAACAGATAATCCCCCAAAAGAAAGTCATCCAGGGTTACTAGAGGAAGATACACAAGAAGAAAAAGAAGAAGAAGAAGAAGAAGAAGAAGAACCTGGAAAAAGAGCAGAGATACTTGCAGAACTGGGGCGAGTTTTTGTCCGAGAAGAAACTACCCAGCCATCTCCTCAACAAGCTGACGGTTATGAACCCAAACAACTTGATGATATCCAAGAGAGGAATTCTGGAGATGAGGATGATGTTCCGTCATCCATAACTGTGACATCACTTAGAGTGGAAGACCAACTTAATCCTGATATTGAAGAAACCTCTGCTTCAAAAGATAAAGTTGAAAACAATTTAGTTGATACATCTACAGACTCTCTGCTGACTCCTGATGAAGTAGATTCTAATCCTGAAAATGTTGATAGTAGCAGGAAGGTTCCAGAAGTTGATATTGATTTCTCTTTGTCAAACCCTGGGGAAAATACTTTTGCAGATAGCACCAAGGGTAGCACTTATGATGATATAAAAGACCACTCCGACTCTATACTGACTCCTGATGAAATGGATTCTAGTCCTGAAGTCGTTAAAAACAGTAAGAAGGTTCCGAATGTCGATATAGATTTATCCTTGTCAAACTCTAGCCCCACAGACAGCACCTTCGGCGAAACTAAAGACCAGCCTTCACAAGGTGCTTCAGAAATGCCAGCGGAAGGTATAACGGAACACGAACAGTTCACTCGCTCATCATCTGTTTCAAGCACTTCATCTAGTTCGTCAGATGATGGTCGTAAGATTAAGTTGAAAAGAAGGGGTACAGGGAGTTATGTAAGCAGTGCTAAGAGCAAAGAAACAATTGTCGAGCAGCCAACTGAAACAGAAAAAGATGTTGCAGATGTTTCTGAGAAGGATGTAACAGAACCCATCTCTGATGCACCATTGTCCACGGTAAATACTCCCAACGTTTTCTTTGATCAAATGGATGACAAAGCTGAATTAGAAGTCAAAGTTCCACTATCTAGTGTTGAGATTGAATTCAATATGGAGTCGGCTCAAGAGAGTAATGATATTCAGGGAGATAGTATAGTTAATCTCGTAGAAGTTGGTGACATTGTACCTAATAAGATGACCTTCCTTCTTTCGATAGTGAATTGGAGCAAGGTGAAGTTGTCTTGAGAAGAATCTCTGCATCCTCATCATCTTCGAACTCCTCAGATTCAGATCACGACAACGAGAAAGATAATTGCACGGAGAAAAAAGATATGCCCGTTGTTACCTCCGTTACAGTTAGCGACACTGCCTCAACAATCCCGGCCCAAGATTTCGATCTAGATAAAGTTGAACAAGATAACCAGGACCTAGTTTCCTTCCAAGCAGTATCGAAGGAACCTGTTAACGAAGTCTTCACAGACCAAGAAATCAGCCAGATTGGTGGCCAAATCATTCCAACGATTTGTCTGAACGATGACTTTAAATTTGAAGAGCAGAGCGAGAAAGGACTCCTGATCTTCTGATTGATGATACTGAAATGGCGGAACAAACAAAATCTTTTGCTCCTGAATTAACTTTTAATGAGGTTAAAGAAGCATCTCCAAATACCGACCCTAGTTCCGAATTAGATCACACTGTTTCAAGCATCGACGATCCTATAACTCCACCTCAAGCTGTTCTGAGAAGAGATCGAGCAGAGTCGACATCTTCATCCTCGTCGGACTCCAGTTCAGAATCACACTCTGAGTATATCGTAGAGCACTCGATAACTATCGCGGAAATGGAGAGTGATGATTCTTCTATTTGTTCCGAATCTGATCTACAAGATAGCATGCAGCGGTGCAATACAATGAGAGGACCCTCAGTGTTGATTATTACGTTAAGGACAATGATAAAACCTTTGAGGCTGATCTTGAGACTGTAACTCCGGACATTGACCTCACTGTAGGAATTGAAAAGACTGAAAAAGACACTACTATCAAAGATTCGTTCGAAGACTACAGCCCTAGTCCAGATGACCTCCATATTCCTTTGTCCGTAATTCTATCTAGCAACTCCAGCAGAAAATCTAGCAGTTCATCCTCAACGTCAAGCAGTTATGTAATTCCGGAGATACAGTCGCCAACTTCACTAACGAAACATGATGTTGATGAATCCTTCGCGGCATCTATAATTGCGGAATCAAACAATAAGGACATCGGTATCAGATCAGCTGAACCAATTCAAGATATTGATGTAAAAGCTTTTGTTGACTCCCAAATAGAACAAGCCATGGCAAGAACGTTAAAATTGGACGACGACCCAGAATTAAATGTAGATGATAGTAAAGAAACATCTCAGCGGATAATCATGACGAACAGCACCTTTAACATGCTTTCTGATGTCCCAGATGTTCAAATGATCCCAATCACTGAGACCAAAATAGTTAGCAGAAAGTCATCTGCTTCCAGTTCTGGAGACGAAAGCGAAATTCCAGATCTTCATCTTGGATCTAAAGGATATGATTTCTCTCAAGATAAGGTGGTATCACTTGAACAGTCTCCTGAATCGATAACTGAAGAATCAGTTTTAAAGCAGTTAGAGTCTTCAATTGAGTTTGGAACAAGTGCTCAACTGGAATCATCTTCAGATTCTAGCCTCTCCTTAAAGACATCAGATGGATCTGAAGAAAAACCCACAAATAATGACGATGATAACAAATTGAGACATTTCTCGTTTGTATGTTTGGATGTTTTAGCCGAACCCCCAGACTTCAACAAAGATACGTCACAGCTTAACATCTCATGTTCGTCTTCCTCTTCAGACGAAACGCCTGGTCCTGATGTCGATGGTACGACAGAACTGAAGCTGGTTGAAATATCAATGCCTGCTGAGACGGAAAATCGTGAAAATGAGATCATCAGAGTAACAGAGGAAATAAAAGAGCTAGAAAGAAGCGTACCCAACTTAAATTCAGATCTTATGTCAGCTAATAAAGATGAAGAGAATCAATGTGATACATCGGTAGACATTTCTCCTGAAACTCCGATCCTTGATCTAAAGTTATCTCTTGAAAATAATATCTCTCAGCCTAGCATTGCAAGTTCTTGTTCTGATGGAGATGGTAAAACTGATCTGACTGAAGTAACAGAGCTAGTTGAGGCAGAAAAACTGGGTTACGAAGACGAAGCTGAGATAGATGTTCCACAGGCAGTTACCGTATCAGCAGAATCACCCACAATCGACAAAATAACTTTGGTTAACACTCCCGAAGAATCTCCAACGATCGACAAAATGGCATTGGCAAATGATCTAGAGAAATCTCCAACAATTGACAAAATGGTATCAGTAAATACTCCAGAAGAGTCTCCCATGATAGATTATGTTACGATGATCAATACCCCGGATCTGCTTGAAACTGACTCAGACTCCGAGAGTTTGTCTGAAGAAGAAGGATTTTGTGAATCGGATGCCATGCAGTCAATTCTAGACCAAATGACTGGAAGCACCATCAGTGTTACTGAAAATGAGGTGGAGGACGAGCTCCGTTCCTTATCTTCCTCATCCTCCAGATCGACAGTTGCAGGGAATGAGGAGGGCTTTGCTGATGGTGATACTCCTGAACCTCCTTCAGAAACCACAGAAGAAAGTAGGACCACTTCTGCGGAACCCACGGACGATTCGAGAGTGCACTCGGTAGAACTAACCGATGACATGAGTACACCGTCTATAGAGCCGGACGAGATCGATGAAGAAGCAACCCCTGAACCTCCAGCAGAAAGTCCCGAACCTCCAACCTTGAGCCTTGAACCTCCCATTATTGACCTTCCCTCTTACAGTGTCGTCAGCGAGGATGTTGATGTGAGAGAAATGGACAACAGAACAATGAGTGTACCTGAAACCTCGCGTCAAGACACCGTACTGACACAACACAGTGCAGATGAAATAACCCTGGACACACCCCACACCATCGCTTCCAACGGACACTCAGAGGAGACACCCGGATCTCAAACTCTAAACGAAAGTTCGTTGGGAACTTATGATTTGGGTTCCACCATGAATACAGATCCCAATCTCACTTTCAACTCAAAAGATAAGCTATTTCTAAAAACAAATTGGCCTAAATACGACCCCGTTATAGGTAAGAGTTTTGCTATCGCTTGCAAAGTGCGACTACATGGATTTGAACTCAGAGACCAGGACATTAAGAACAACGCTTCAATCAGACTGCACAAAGACCAGGAACTCTTATCAATTCAACCTAAATTTATCAACGGGTATTTTGTGTTTAAGATTAAAAATCCCACGTTGGCAGAAAGTGGTTGGTACAATTTTACGGTGAATATGTTGGATTATGAAGCGGCTGAGGGGCAAGATATAAACATTGTCCTCAAGGGAAATAAGAACAAGAGGACTAAATCAATGAATTCTATCGGATCTTTAGGGTCTTTGGGATCGCTGTTTTCTGTGAACAATAAAAATCAAATTAGGAGATGAAATAAAAGGTAACTCAAAGCATCTCGCACAAATCGAGATAAGTTATTCTTTTAGCCTTATAACCTAATTTCATGAAATGATGCACAATGAGATGCAGTGCATCTGAGTTTAACGATGTTTCACAAAGCAGTTTTTATCGATTTGAGATTGAGTTTTGCACTTCAAATTGAATCGTCGGATGGTGTAATTATAGTGGTCAACAAACTGTTCCCGACAATATTTGTTAGTTGTGATTTGGAACTAGCATAAATAAGAGCAATGCAGAAATTGAAAGAACTGGTGTACAGATTTATGCAAGTGCAATATGATTAAATTAGTTTTGAGGAATTTGATCACTCTGGAATTAAACAAGACTCAATCTGTTTCTCATGTCAAACCTGTGAATTCTGCACTTTTATTTTTTTTGTTCTATTTCGTAAATGTATTGCGCCAGATTGAGGCTTTTACTAATTCGCTCGCCCAAAAATTTCACGTGACTTTGGTTTTTATGGTTTTGCAGCCGTACAAAACGGTTTTACATAAACCCTAATCCGCAACCCTAACCCTAACCATAACCCCGAAGCTATCCATAACCCTTACCACAACCCTAACCCTAACCCGAGCCCTAAACAATCGAATTCATGTTTTACTAGCCTGTCACGTGACCAAAACGGTTTTTTGCCCATAACTCTCCAGGAAAGCATTTTTACCCTACGTCATGGGGGGTGATTCGGAATCAGCGTCCAAAAATACACCGTTTGAAATTAATTTCATACCCAAAGGGCCTTTTCACAAGAATTTTCTTAAAATTTGGGCGAGCGATTTAGTAGGAGCGCCAGATTGAATTAAACCGTTACACATACTCAATTTTATGTTTTTTGTTTAGATTTCAAATATTTTCACTCGCTCTATTCGAAAAAATTGTAAACTACAGCCTATGAAATAATCTTTATGTATTCAATATTTGGTTTGCCACCTAAATATTCTGATAAAATTTGAAATAGGGAATGGGAAAAGTGAAAGGTTGGGGTTAAATGATCCAAAACCGTATTGTTGAATTCACATAATATAAAAATGAATCAAACTGATTGCGGTTGCTATGGTGGTCATGGTAACGTAAAAACTTGAGAAGTCACCATTAAACCTTAGTCCTTAGAACTACCGATACATTTTTATAGAATGAAGTTTAGACAAATGGATTAAAAGTTATCCAAAAAGAACATCCTTGCAAGACTTTTGAAACACCTTGTACAATCACATGCAAGAACAGTACATAACCACAGACTATTGTTATAATTGTATTTGATTTTAGCTGTGGTTCGTTTCTTCAACAGAATCGTATTTGGAAGCCCTGTTGGAAAGCACAGTGATCTCCTCCTCCTTCTTTGTGCTCCTCCCCAGAAAGTAGAGTGTAGGGAAGAGTGCTAGAGCACTCGGTAAACTTAGAACTAACATCAGTATCAAGTCCGAGATGTGTTTTCGTAGTACGGACGCAAACAGTAGGTAGTACATACATCCGAACACCTGTATAGGCAAGTTAGGAGTAGTAATGACATGAATTTACTAATTTGGCTGGTTAATTAATGCCACATATGAGATTTCTTTCTCGTCCTTATTAAATTATAAGCTGCGTTTCTAAATTTAGAATCTTTTGAAGAATGTAGCAAGATGAATAATAAATAAATATAATCGCATGATGACCATGGATTCTAACAAAAAAAAGGATGTGAAATCCCCACATTTAACAGGTGGATATAAAGTTACACACTGACCTCACCGGTTAGTACCATCCCAAACTTGAGCCCAATATCTTTATTGCCCATGAAGTGTTTGATAGCCGGAGGTAAAAGAGTCATCATCCCCGGCATAATGGCTAGAACAGACACTATCGCTACATACAGGTACTTGTCTACTCTACCTGGTGCCATGCTCACCTGGAATTGTTGGAGGCTCAATCTTGTGGAATTTGTTCCGTTTAATCTTATTCCGTTTAATCTTATACCGTTTTTTAGTTTCAGCTGCATGCACTTTTGCGATCGAATTTAACGAACTTTTTGAAGAAAAAAGGAGCTGTCCTACCTGAAGAATGACACTCAGAACATTCCCCACTACAAACAGTATCCTATACGAGACCTTGTCACCCAATATCCCCCACAATATCCTTCCGAGGGCACCCACCACAGGGATGATAATTCCAGCTAGGTTATAAAACTTGTCAGCTGAAGCGTTGTGTTCACCGCTGGTGCCGAACTCTTTGAACAATTCAAACGCGCACAAACTGCTGACACCAATACCTACCTTGAGATTGAATCAGTTTAGAAAAATCTGGTCAGCATAGTCTCCTGGCTCAATTACTATAGATAGACTTTATAGCTATCATATTGGAATTTGAAACTATGATACTGTAAGAACTACGAATAAAGGCGTGATTATTTACTTCAATACCCTCAGAAGTCGAGAGTTTTGCCCTAAAACTGTAAGATAAGACTGAAAGTGAGATTGTAACTGAACTGTAGGTAAATGATTAAATATAACCGTTGTGGTAAAGAGAACTAAGCCCACTCCCGATACAACGCTGATATTTGACTCTTTAGCTTGCTCGTCCACTTCTTTGATTGTTGCAATGCTTCTTTTCTTTAATCTTATCCGTATCGGAGCTGAAAATTAATAAATTCAGCCGAGAATTTTTACATTTATTTCCAAATATCTGGAAGAACTATAAGCTTACAAAATATAACCTATTTATCAATCTTTTGTCACTCAAATCTGACTCTAGAATCCCATGAATCATGATACCCACATTATCTGTATAACACAGATCACCTGCATAGTGTATATTACACAATATATTACCCGTATTATTTGCAGAACTGGTTCCTTCCTGTTCGTCCTCCTCCTCCAACCCGTAAGAATTCTCTACAACCCTAGCAATGATGCTCTTAGACCTATCTCTCCTTTTAGAAGGGAATCTGGCAGATCTCATCGAGGCAGGTCTTCCTTTTCTTGTTATTCCTAAAAATGCGGTTAATTGTCGCTGAAAATGGGTCTGAAAATGGGACATAATGGCGATTTCATGCCTCAGTTACGATAATTTTCGAAACTTTTTTTAAGCAACCAACTTAGAAATAATATTAATACCGATGACGAAGTAGCCTGGAAGGAAGCAGAAGAACAAAACGACAGCGAGGATGAGCCACATTGTCGGTACTTTGTCGAGGATCTCTTCCTGTTTGAACAGCGTCCTGTCGATGGTAAGTCATTTGGGAGAATTCGGAACAAATCAAAGTTATAAAAAGTTGATATGATACTTATTGAATGGAGATTTAAAATGAAGCGGTAATATAAACTATGAAAACGCCCAATAATAATAAAGCCGCACAATACATGATATATTCCTACCCGATTTTTCCATCCGCGTCAGTAAAGTCAGAACTTGGAAGATTGCTAGGGTTGAAATAAAAGAAACCAAGTAGATTACCCCACACTCCAGCCACACCAAACCAGAAGCCGTAAAATCCGTTAGCTGAGGAGGAGCGAGTTTTACCCTCCTCTGTCACACGTTGGGAGAAGAAGATGTGCAACTGACCCAGGTGGAATCCAACAAACGCTGGGATTGATGTTAACTGTGAGAATTATTTCCAAGGTTGTGGATCATATTAAATTTTCATTGATGTACATGTATTTTAGAACTCAAGAAGTCACAGCAAATAACAAAAATGGCCACCACAATTAAAGACAAACAAAAACTGGAAAAACTAAAAAAGTTAAAATTTCAAAAGAAATGTGCACGAACTCATAGAAACGGTGATAACGATGTAGTTGTCAGTGAAGAAGTAGAGGAGAATCATCCAGCCACTTAGAGCCACACCGTTGATCACGTGCAATATCACGGGGTGAACGTACCTCTGAGGGTTATCTGGTAAGCAATAGATTTGGCTAGCAATACAAATTTCTTGATGACGCTAGTCTTTGAGGGTGGTTTAGTTACCAATAGCAAGAACAAATAGCTGCACGACAGTCAAGCCCCAGAGATTTAACTATTGTTGGCCTCCCGCACAAATAACTTGGTGGAACCGGGTCTCTTTTACACCAAAGCTATTATACATGTTTTGAACCACTAACTGCTGGTAACAGGTTAGCTTGAGCTGTTATTCGTTGCCAACTGAAGTACTCAGGTTAAGGACAGCAGTTTTACCAGGTATGTACTCGGTACAGCCACCATAATTAATTTACATAAACTAATCAGAGTTTGTAGCATGACTGTGAAACTCTTGTGTTACTTACAACAAACAAGCCAAAGGACCACGCAGTTCCAGTCGCCATACCGAGAACCAAGGGAGCGTGCATGTGCATTTGAGCTTTCGTTATCTCGTTATTTGCTTCATATAAGTAGGAATAAATGTAAACCTGGAGATAATATCTCGTTATCTGCTTCGTATAAGTAGGAATAAATGTAAACCTGGAGATTTTATGCATCGTGATGTAATCACAGATGGAACCTTTCAGTTTAGAAAACAATCGCATCATAACTTCAGGATCCCTCAGTAGTCAGTCTGAGTATTGATTAGAGTGAAAAAAATATTGAAAAAAATATTGAAATAAGGTTTAAAAGCTACCTGCAATATGCCGTACGAGAAAGGTATCAGGTTTACTGCATGACCACCCAGCGAACAGAGCCCGATCACTAGTAGGCTCCAGTTCCGGTTAGAGATTCGTGGAATGATCATGATGATTGATAAGTCCAAATCTTTAGCTTCTAATTCTATCAAACGCTCAGAACAATGTTATTGCGTATTTTAGTTTTGCTGTTCCTTCTTCTTACTTTTCTTTCATAAAAGTCCCTGCCTCTTCAACAGCAAACTATTTAATTATTAGGTGCTAAATGTTGATTGTGATAAAAGCTAGCAAAAGCAAGGCTGTGGAGTGACGGGGCAAACTAATAAATTATAAAACCATGTCACTTCCCAGACGGGGTCCTCGATTAGAATCTAAATTTGTTACCTGCCACTCTTATCAAAATATTAACCAGATAACTTCTCTACTGCTTCTCAATTCCACAAATTACTACTTGAATAACAAAATTTTACGTTCATTCAACTTTAACCACAATTAAGTGTGGTAACAGCTTAACACTAACAGGCGACTCGGCATCTATCCACAACCAGTCCCATACCAAACAGGCTACGGTAGGTCGAAAGAAAATTTGGTTACACAAACGAAAGCAAAAGGTGACTTAAAGTCAAACATAATATGAATAAAACATAAGTTATTATTAAAAACATTTATGTTAAAAATAAATGCTCATCAGATTGCGGTGTACCTGTAATCTGTATAAAAGTCCATGAGGCAAACTAACTACTTAACTAGAGCGTGCTAAATCACTCTGCACTGAAACTTCGACATTTTTTGGCAGTCAACCAACTTTGATTGATGTATTTTTTTACGCTGATTCCGAATCACCCCACATAATATAATTATAGGGTCGCGGGTTGAATGCTTCCCGGCAAATTACAGGCAATGAAGTACACACCACCAAAATTAAATCTAACAATTTTGGAAATTAACAATTTTGGAAAATAACAAAAAAGCGATCACCTCACGATCCTTTAGCTATTTCCACAACGCTTCCAAGGAAGCAAGATGATAAATTGATGCAATTTTCCTAACAAAAGATAAAACCTGCTAAACTAATTGGCCGGTGCCCTCTATTTCCCTGGATCAATTAACGGGATAGGTTCGTCACGGCCGAGCGGCAGTCTCGTTTGTAGAGTTACAACTCTAACAACCTTGCTAGTTCCGGACAAAACAAAAGGGGCGCTTCTCGAGGACACGTTAATACTTTTATAGGATTCAAAGCTAGACTGGCTTTGTCAGACGGTGATTGGACCAGCTGGGTGGGCGACGGTCACCAGCAGCAGAAGGTGCAGACTCTAAAAACTGTGATTTGATGAACAATGTGCGTATGACGTCTCTGTCTAGCAAGCCCGAATAAAAGTGTATTGATTTGAATCAAATTCTAGTGGGCTCACGTTCACGATCTTAATGTGAGATTAGAAGATATCATAATTTGAATTGGAATTATTGCGCGTTACTGCGTTCAGAATTCTAATACAGTGGAAAATCTAATATACAGACAAAATTTGATAGTTACAATTCGTTATTAATTTTGTGTGAACTGCTTATGGAAATGCGTTAAATGCTTTAAGATCGTATCACCAAGCGATATATCGCCAAGGGCTCTTAACGCAAACTGAAACAGTGAAGTTATACCTTTATCGCAAAATTTATTACATTCATGCAAAGGGAAGAAATCCAGGTAACGATCACTTAACGAAACAGTTAACAACTGAACAAGATCTAGGTTGCATTATTGGTAAATAAACTGTCACTGCTACTCAATATCGCATTTGGTCAAGGATCCGTTTACTATTACACTCACATTCGTTAATACCAATGGAAAGCGTGGTTCTTAATGTGTTGTTGCAATAGTTACAGATAAAATCTTGTCTTCCTCGTCCCAATAATCTTTATTATATTACGGTTGGTACAGTAGCTTCTAGTTCCATACATAAGTCTTACATTACTCTCTGGACCTTCTTGACTGATTTAAAGAAAAAAACTCTCGCCTTCGCCAAAATGAGACCATAGCTAAATTCATTTTAGCATAAGACTGGGTTTAGCTTTTGATATTGTATAGTCCGTCAGCTATTAATAGAGGCCGTACCTAGCATCAACACGCAAAAAAGAAAAACTGCAACGCAGTGAATACGAAAGCCAAAAGCAACACAGGCGATGACCGAGGAAACGACTAAAAAGTTCGATATCCTTCACCTAGCCTCTCAAAATCTTGACAATAGTTATTATAATAATCATTATGATATAAATATGAACACAAACAAAAGCAGGCTCGCTGAAATGCAAACTAATCAATTATGAGCAAGACTGCAGCAGTATTGCATCAGTATTCTATGTGTAACAGATATGATTAATTCAATAATAATATAAAGGCACGGTTTAACGAAGAAATATCAGATGCTGAGATTTTTTCTGCGTACTTTTTGTTTTGAAATAAATACAATCTATTTTTAAACATACAAGAGGATGAAACAAAATAATGTAAAATACGGTAAATTAAGCAAATGATCTATTTCAGTATCTACATAGTATATTTACATAACTAACAATGACATATTTATATATTTTTATAATATTATTGAATTATGATTCGTATTTCATGTTACGAGTCGAAATCTTTGCTATTTTAATTCTATGTCATCTAAAAATAAAATACCGTTTTCACAATCAAGGTAGTGTCATATTCTTGATAAACGATCGTTTTTAGTTCGTTTTGTTTTTAGTTCTTCATCCTTAGTTTAACTTTCACCGCGTAATGGATGAACAGAAGTTGAGATGTTTCTCCCGTCTGCAACACCACAAGAGGGTGCTATAGCCAAACAAACCTGAATAGAGCCGATAATTTATAAATGATCATTGTCTGACGTCTGTAGACTGTAGTACATATTTTAATAAAACAACCAATAAAAGCATTATATTAGTGCGGGCAAAGTGGTAGTTCAACGAGATTGACAATTCATAATAAAATATAGTCTCAAGATCTGGATCAATGTGTTTGGATATTGGAATAAATTACCAGCAGCAAGTGTTGTAACGACAATATAGATGATAACAACAACGTCAACTCGAGCTAGCTTCAGAGAGAAGATGAGGATGTATCCTAAGCTTTCCCAGAGTCTGTACTGGGAAAATGCTGAGACCTGGTCCTCGGGGAACGTCTCGGCGTACACCACTGAGGAAGTGGGGTCAGCTGTGAAAAATTGTTCACTGGGAAAGTGGGGTCAGCATAGAAGAAGTGTTCAATAAATTTTCTCATGTATATTGCAGTGTGTATGCCAACGTTGTCAAGATTCATTTTGAACCTCTATCTAAGTATTCAATTTATCAAATCTTGAATTACCTCCAATTTGAGGCTGCCATATCCCCTCGGCTATTCCCCAGGCTGCTATACACAAGTGAATTACCATTGATCTGTGATTATATTATTATTACGTATATAACGAAATTACATCGTCGTAAAACATTACAGTAAAACCATAAGTGATATCAGATCTAACTCTCGATCAAAGTTGTCCAATTTCATTTGTTTCAACTGTTATTAGAATCATCCTGCATGTAATTTAAGAACTTTCTGGGAAACTAACACAACAAACCAAGTAACGAGTAGATAAGTGTTACTCAGATAGTATCTACCTTGTGAACTTACCCCTTACAGTCCAACAGAGACAGAGCAAGAACAGCACAGTTGAGAAGAGCAGCAGCAAATAGGAGGATCCTCATTGGTACATATCTCCTCAGTAAACCAACTGTGGGATATAAGGTGTTTACTATATAGGTAGTAAACTTGTTGTGGTAATTATAATAGTCACCAGATTCCCACTCTCGATTCCTTGCTAGCAGTCCGGTTAATTTAGTACCTTTAGTGGGTCTCATTTAATCATTAGCTCTTATTAAAGAACCTCTCACCCTCTCAGAGTACTACACTTACTAACACGTGCATATTACAAAGGAGCAATAGTTTGCGGAGGCATTCTAGAACGGTATATATTTTAGCTTTCAGTTTCTGTTTCATTATCTTAAAATTTATTCCGCTTTTATTTTTATTCCCACTCTCGATTCCTTGCTAGCAGTCCGGTTAATTTAGTACCTTTAGTGGGTCTCATTTAATCATTAGCTCTTATTAAAGAACCTCTCACCCTCTCAGATTTTCACCGCTCCGTTCATTTTTACAGCTTTATTATTTTTATATTTTTACTACACTTACTAACACGTGCATATTACAAAGGAGCAATAGTTTGCGGAGGCATTCTAGAACGGTATATATTTTAGCTTTCAGTTTCTGTTTCATTATCTTAAAATTTATTCCGCTTTTATTTTTATTCCCACTCTCGATTCCTTGCTAGCAATCCGGTTAATTTAGTACCTTTAGTGGGTCTCATTTAATCATTAGCTCTTATTAAAGAATCTCTCACCCTCTCAAAAAACTCCGTTTGGAGATATTCCTTATTACGCTCTAAGTTATTAATTTTCCTTGTGTTTGAATCCTGTCACTTTTTAACTGTTTTTAGTCTTTGTTATTTTCGGCCGATTTCTGCACTTTTACACTGGGTCATCATTCATAATTTCTGGGATTGAGACGACTTATATCTGCATCTAAGGAAAAGTTTGCTTGTCTGACTTACTTCATTAGACACTTCTGGTCAAAAATTGAACAAGAACCACATTCGAAAACTGGAACATCTGAATGACTCCGCAACCCAGGAATCAACTACTCAGTTATTATCGCTCGATAATCGGTTTGGTATCGACGTTACATACTTTATTATTTTTTTTAAAGCTGATTTTAGAAACCAGGGAATTAAAGTTACACTTACCCTCCTAAGGCTAACATTAAATCGCTGATTTTATTTATATATATCACTTTTTTTGTTCTTTCTTTTCCTTCAAAACATTCCAGTACATTGTGCAGAAAGTTGGAGATGAAGCCGTAGTACGTACATGTAGCATTGCACTGGATCGAACTTGCAGAGTGTGGTTTCCTCCAGTCTGCGCCGCGCGCTTATATAAACATACGCGGCGCAGATCGACCGGAGGAGATTGCACTGTGTAGGCTCCGGTGTAATGTGATATGTATGTACCCCGGCTTCACAAATTTTGGAAGCATGTAGGGATATATATCTGATACCAATCGCATATACTAAAAATACTCTAGCACAATTGTAACTGCAGTTTTACAGAACTCTAAATGCTTAATGAACACTCTTGCAGGTACCACCCGTATTCACACTCAGACCTGAGTTTAGTCATTTTCCGATACGAGATTGGGGACGGGTTCTATAAACAAAACAAACAAATAATAGTCACCATATAAGTGCTACTAAGGTTTACCACTATAATATATATAGATGTACCCACCTTCAGGTGAAATATCTAATACAATTTTAAAACAGTCAGCGGTCACTTGTTTTAGCCACAATACTCACAAGAAATAGAAGAGAGGGAACCGGAAAGGCCGTAAGTTATCATCATCAGCCCGTGAGTTTTCAATCCAAAGTGACATACAACAAATGATTCTGAAACAAACATTTACTGAAAATGGAATCTTTATTTGACATTTTCAATATGACCCAATGAAGATACCATTGTTAATCGATAACACAATCAAATAGTTGGTCGCTAAATCGTATGCTGTTCCCCACACTAACCACTGAATACTGAGATAAGAAAAGCCTGTTCGACCCCACTCCAAACAGTTAAAGGAATAAGGAGTCCCTGGTTCCGGTCTAACTTGCTTGTCGTCTTCAGAAGTGAAGTTATAACAGAGGTGCCATCGTCTTCGTCATCGTCTTCGTCATCGTCCCTACCCTCCATGTACATTGCTAGTAGTATAACTGAGACTATCGCTAAGGGAGGAAGAAGTGGAGTGGACATCGCACTTTATTTTTGATCTAATGATCACTTTTATTGTGATGCCAGAAATTAAGATAAAACAGTCACTTTGGCAGAACACAAGGAAGGTTACCAATTGAGAGGTAGGAAGATATGAGGTTGAACTTGATGCGGAGGCCGGTGCCACCAAGGTAATCATTGTCACTACTTATCACAGCGTAGTCGTAGTTCAGACCACAGGTGTCCTGAGCTCCATTCAGATCTTCTTCGTCGGTTGAAGTTGATTTTGAGAAAATCGTATATACTGAGATAGGGTGGTTGCAGAGTATATACTGAGATAGAGTGGTTGCAGGGTATATACTGAGATAGAGTGGTTGCAGGGTATATACTGAGATAGAGTGGTTGCAGGGTATATACTGAGATAGAGTGGTTGCAGAGTATATACTGAGATAGAGTGGTTGCAGGGTATATACTGAGATAGAGTGGCTGCAGAGTATATACTGAGATAGAGTGGTTGCAGGGTATATACTGAGATAGAGTGGTTGCAGGGTATATACTGAGATAGAGTGGTTGCAGAGTATATACTGAGATAGAGTGGTTGCAGGGTATATACTGAGATAGAGTGGTTGCAGAGTATATACTGAGATAGAGTGGTTGCAGAGTATATACTGAGATAAAGTGGTTGCAGAGTATATACTGAGATAGAGTGGTTGCAGAGTATATACTGAGATAGAGTGGTTGCAGGGTATATACTGAGATAGAGTGGTTGCAGAGTATATACTGAGATAGAGTGGTTGCAGAGTATATACTGAGATAGAGTGGTTGCAGGGTATATACTGAGATAGAGTGGTTGCAGAGTATATACTGAGATAGAGTGGTTGCAGAGTATATACTGAGATAGAGTGGTTGCAGAGTATATACTGAGATAGAGTGGTTGCAGAGTATATACTGAGATAGAGTGGTTGCAGAGTATATACTGAGATAGAGTGGTTGCAGAGTATATACTGAGATAGAGTGGTTGCAGGGTATATACTGAGATAGAGTGGTTGCAGAGTATATACTGAGATAGAGTGGTTGCAGAGTATATACTGAGATAGAGTGGTTGCAGAGTATATACTGAGATAGAGTGGTTGCAGAGTATATACTGAGATAGAGTGGTTGCAGAGTATATACTGAGATAGAGTGGTTGCAGAGTATATACTGAGATAGAGTGGTTGCAGAGTATATACTGAGATAGAGTGGTTGCAGAGTATATACTGAGATAGAGTGGTTGCAGAGTATATACTGAGATAGAGTGGTTGCAGAGTATATACTGAGATAGAGTGGTTGCAGAGTATATACTGAGATAGAGTGGTTGCAGAGTATATACTGAGATAGAGTGGTTGCAGAGTATATACTGAGATAGAGTGGTTGCAGAGTATATACTGAGATAGAGTGGTTGCAGAGTATATACTGAGATAGAGTGGTTGCAGAGTATATACTGAGATAGAGTGGTTGCAGAGTATATACTGAGATAGAGTGGTTGCAGAGTATATACTGAGATAGAGTGGTTGCAGAGTATATACTGAGATAGAGTGGTTGCAGAGTATATACTGAGATAGAGTGGTTGCAGAGTATATACTGAGATAGAGTGGTTGCAGAGTATATACTGAGATAGAGTGGTTGCAGAGTATATACTGAGATAGAGTGGTTGCAGAGTATATACTGAGATAGAGTGGTTGCAGAGTATATACTGAGATAGAGTGGTTGCAGAGTATATACTGAGATAGAGTGGTTGCAGAGTATATACTGAGATAGAGTGGTTGCAGAGTATATACTGAGATAGAGTGGTTGCAGAGTATATACTGAGATAGAGTGGTTGCAGAGTATATACTGAGATAGAGTGGTTGCAGAGTATATACTGAGATAGAGTGGTTGCAGAGTATATACTGAGATAGAGTGGTTGCAGAGTATATACTGAGATAGAGTGGTTGCAGAGTATATACTGAGATAGAGTGGTTGCAGAGTATATACTGAGATAGAGTGGTTGCAGAGTATATACTGAGATAGAGTGGTTGCAGAGTATATACTGAGATAGAGTGGTTGCAGAGTATATACTGAGATAGAGTGGTTGCAGAGTATATACTGAGATAGAGTGGTTGCAGAGTATATACTGAGATAGAGTGGTTGCAGAGTATATACTGAGATAGAGTGGTTGCAGAGTATATACTGAGATAGAGTGGTTGCAGAGTATATACTGAGATAGAGTGGTTGCAGAGTATATACTGAGATAGAGTGGTTGCAGAGTATATACTGAGATAGAGTGGTTGCAGAGTATATACTGAGATAGAGTGGTTGCAGAGTATATACTGAGATAGAGTGGTTGCAGAGTATATACTGAGATAGAGTGGTTGCAGAGTATATACTGAGATAGAGTGGTTGCAGAGTATATACTGAGATAGAGTGGTTGCAGAGTATATACTGAGATAGAGTGGTTGCAGAGTATATACTGAGATAGAGTGGTTGCAGAGTATATACTGAGATAGAGTGGTTGCAGAGTATATACTGAGATAGAGTGGTTGCAGAGTATATACTGAGATAGAGTGGTTGCAGAGTATATACTGAGATAGAGTGGTTGCAGAGTATATACTGAGATAGAGTGGTTGCAGAGTATATACTGAGATAGAGTGGTTGCAGAGTATATACTGAGATAGAGTGGTTGCAGAGTATATACTGAGATAGAGTGGTTGCAGAGTATATACTGAGATAGAGTGGTTGCAGAGTATATACTGAGATAGAGTGGTTGCAGAGTATATACTGAGATAGAGTGGTTGCAGAGTATATACTGAGATAGAGTGGTTGCAGAGTATATACTGAGATAGAGTGGTTGCAGAGTATATACTGAGATAGAGTGGTTGCAGAGTATATACTGAGATAGAGTGGTTGCAGAGTATATACTGAGATAGAGTGGTTGCAGAGTATATACTGAGATAGAGTGGTTGCAGAGTATATACTGAGATAGAGTGGTTGCAGAGTATATACTGAGATAGAGTGGTTGCAGAGTATATACTGAGATAGAGTGGTTGCAGAGTATATACTGAGATAGAGTGGTTGCAGAGTATATACTGAGATAGAGTGGTTGCAGAGTATATACTGAGATAGAGTGGTTGCAGAGTATATACTGAGATAGAGTGGTTGCAGAGTATATACTGAGATAGAGTGGTTGCAGAGTATATACTGAGATAGAGTGGTTGCAGAGTATATACTGAGATAGAGTGGTTGCAGAGTATATACTGAGATAGAGTGGTTGCAGAGTATATACTGAGATAGAGTGGTTGCAGAGTATATACTGAGATAGAGTGGTTGCAGAGTATATACTGAGATAGAGTGGTTGCAGAGTATATACTGAGATAGAGTGGTTGCAGAGTATATACTGAGATAGAGTGGTTGCAGAGTATATACTGAGATAGAGTGGTTGCAGAGTATATACTGAGATAGAGTGGTTGCAGAGTATATACTGAGATAGAGTGGTTGCAGAGTATATACTGAGATAGAGTGGTTGCAGAGTATATACTGAGATAGAGTGGTTGCAGAGTATATACTGAGATAGAGTGGTTGCAGAGTATATACTGAGATAGAGTGGTTGCAGAGTATATACTGAGATAGAGTGGTTGCAGAGTATATACTGAGATAGAGTGGTTGCAGGGTATATACTGAGATAGAGTGGTTGCAGAGTATATACTGAGATAGAGTGGTTGCAGAGTATATACTGAGATAGAGTGGTTGCAGAGTATATACTGAGATAGAGTGGTTGCAGAGTATATACTGAGATAGAGTGGTTGCAGAGTATATACTGAGATAGAGTGGTTGCAGAGTATATACTGAGATAGAGTGGTTGCAGAGTATATACTGAGATAGAGTGGTTGCAGAGTATATACTGAGATAGAGTGGTTGCAGAGTATATACTGAGATAGAGTGGTTGCAGAGTATATACTGAGATAGAGTGGTTGCAGAGTATATACTGAGATAGAGTGGTTGCAGAGTATATACTGAGATAGAGTGGTTGCAGAGTATATACTGAGATAGAGTGGTTGCAGAGTATATACTGAGATAGAGTGGTTGCAGAGTATATACTGAGATAGAGTGGTTGCAGAGTATATACTGAGATAGAGTGGTTGCAGAGTATATACTGAGATAGAGTGGTTGCAGAGTATATACTGAGATAGAGTGGTTGCAGAGTATATACTGAGATAGAGTGGTTGCAGAGTATATACTGAGATAGAGTGGTTGCAGAGTATATACTGAGATAGAGTGGTTGCAGAGTATATACTGAGATAGAGTGGTTGCAGAGTATATACTGAGATAGAGTGGTTGCAGAGTATATACTGAGATAGAGTGGTTGCAGAGTATATACTGAGATAGAGTGGTTGCAGAGTATATACTGAGATAGAGTGGTTGCAGAGTATATACTGAGATAGAGTGGTTGCAGAGTATATACTGAGATAGAGTGGTTGCAGAGTATATACTGAGATAGAGTGGTTGCAGAGTATATACTGAGATAGAGTGGTTGCAGAGTATATACTGAGATAGAGTGGTTGCAGAGTATATACTGAGATAGAGTGGTTGCAGAGTATATACTGAGATAGAGTGGTTGCAGAGTATATACTGAGATAGAGTGGTTGCAGAGTATATACTGAGATAGAGTGGTTGCAGAGTATATACTGAGATAGAGTGGTTGCAGAGTATATACTGAGATAGAGTGGTTGCAGAGTATATACTGAGATAGAGTGGTTGCAGAGTATATACTGAGATATTGCAGAGTATATACTGAGATAGAGTGGTTGCAGAGTATATACTGAGATAGAGTGGTTGCAGAGTATATACTGAGATAGAGTGGTTGCAGAGATATACTGAGATAGAGTGGGTTGACAGAGTATATACTGAGATAGAGTGGGTTGCAGGTATACTGAGATAGTGGTTGCAGAGTATATACTGAGATAGAGTGGTTGCAGAGTATATACTGAGATAGAGTGGTTGCAGAGTATATACTGAGATAGAGTGGTTAGCAGAGTATACTGAGATAGAGTGGGTTGCAGAGTATATACTGAGATAGAGTGGTTGCAGAGTATAGACTGAGATAGAGTGTTGCAGAGTATATACGAGATAGAGTGGTTGCAGAGTATTTACTGAGATAGAGTGGTTGCAGAGTATATACTGAGATAGAGTGGTTGCAGAGTATATACTGAGATAGAGTGGTTGCAGAGTATATACTGAGATAGAGTGGTTGCAGAGTATATACTGAGATAGAGTGGTTGCAGAGTATATACTGAGATAGAGTGGTTGCAGAGTATATACTGAGATAGAGTGGTTGCAGAGTATATACTGAGATAGAGTGGTTACAGAGTATATACTGAGATAAAGTGGTTGCAGAGTATATACTGAGATAAAGTGGTTACAGAGTATATACTGAGATAGAGTGGTTACAGAGTATATACTGAGATAAAGTGGTTGCAGAGTATATACTGAGATAAAGTGGTTGCAGAGTATATACTCAGATAGAGTGGTTGCAGAGTATATACTGAGATAAAGTGGTTGCAGAGTAGGTATATACTGAGATAGAGTGGTTGCAGAGTATATACTGAGATAGAGTGGTTGCAGAGTATATACTGAGATAGAGTGGTTGCAGAGTATATACTGAGATAGAGTGGTTGCAGAGTATATACTGAGATAGAGTGGTTGCAGAGTATATACTGAGATAGAGTGGTTGCAGAGTATATACTGAGATAGAGTGGTTGCAGAGTATATACTGAGATAGAGTGGTTGCAGAGTATATACTGAGATAGAGTGGTTGCAGAGTATATACTGAGATAGAGTGGTTGCAGAGTATATACTGAGATAGAGTGGTTGCAGAGTATATACTGAGATAGAGTGGTTGCAGAGTATATACTGAGATAGAGTGGTTGCAGAGTATATACTGAGATAGAGTGGTTGCAGAGTATATACTGAGATAGAGTGGTTACAGAGTATATACTGAGATAGAGTGGTTGCAGAGTATATACTGAGATAGAGTGGTTGCTTTAATGGCTGCTTCGTTTTTAAACTATTTATAATTCAAAAATATATGCGCATTTTTTTGTCAGATTTTTAATTCCGTAATGAATAAAATCAAAAGATTTTTCCACTATGTAGGCAAAATCAAACTCACCGACGAAATATATAAGGTTGCCCCAAGCTCCCGTAGACAAAAACACCATGAAGTAAAGCCCAAAGAAGACAGAGTAAGAGTGGGAGAGGTTACTTTTGAAGAGTAGAGCGTACCTCTCTGCCAAGTAACAGAGGTACTGATAACTTGCTGTCCAGAGTGGTGCTCCAGTGATTCCTGGTAAAGGTGGATGGGGGTCGGGGGAGCAGACATCAGAGAATAATGAGCAGGTAATTAATTAATTAATCAATTAATTAATTATGAGGTAATTCTTTTCGCGATGGTAGTAGAATTCAGATAGATATTTTCTAGCGAACACTTATCGAAAAGTAATATAATGATAGTTGTTCTCACGTACCTAGCAGTATACCAAAAGGTACAGTGAGTGCCAAGTGTGGGTAGTAGAAGGTACAGATATACAGGATGTAAGGAATTTGGCAGAATATAAAGGTCCATCTGGTTCCCAGGCGATCAATAACTGAAAAAGGGAACTGTTGGGACCAGTAGGAAACAGTTCTACAAATCCTTTTAATACCCTTCTTTTAGATCCTGATGTTTGTTATTCAAGTGTCAAGGCTTTGCCTAAACTCGATAAAACTCTAGAAATGCAGTTACGATCATAAAAAATTATAAGGTTTAAAAATGTTTTCCTGTAAATTACTGATTGCAAGAGTAAATAGCAAACAAAGTAATACGGTCAGAACCAATGTGAGTGAGAAATGCAGAGGAAGGAACAAGAGCGATGTATATCACCAGGGGAGGAATGCTGTTAGAGACTACAGAGAACTTAGTGTCCTCAGTTATCCCTGTACTTTGTAGACCACTCACTCCCTGATAGGAGGAGATATAAGGTACAGTAAAATATAACAAGTTTCAAGAGATGATGAAAATCAAACGTTTTGCTGGTTACTGATTGTCAGCCAAATTGTCTCTAACCACTATTCAGACTACCTGAAATGCAGTGAATACTCCCAGGAATGTAAAGCACAGAACCCCCAGATTCCTGTAGATTTTCTGTCGTACGTTATCAAAATGAGGATCCTTGCACTCGTGATGGTAGTTAAAAATGCCTTCCATTGTTTTTAGCTATAGCCGAAAGCACCAGAGAAGGAAATGGAACTTATTGGTGGTGATTTAGCGGAATCAAACTTGACATAAAGTTAACTACCATCTACTCAATACTACTAAAGGTTAAGTTAACAGCAACATATAAAAGATTAAATGAGTCACATGGTAAATTGAAGAAGACTTGGCTCATCAGTATCAAGTTTCTCCTAAATGTGCTAAAATGCGGTTACGTGGGTTGGTCTGAGCCACTTGACATATTAATAGTCGGTCACAGGACACAAATTCTAGAACTGAAAGTCAGTCAAGGGAGTCGAAATCAGACTTGAAGGATTCTGGTCTGTATAGCCTAAAGACTTATTTAGCTAAAGGACTTTAGAGCTGAATTAAGCTATAACGTCTTTGAGCTAATTAACGATGATAATTTCATTGCTCCACGTTGCATATTCCTTTTGCAACGTTTGTCAAGAATTTCGGACTATAAAAGTTCTAAGAAAGCAGTCTGTCAGCCTGTCAGCCTGTCAGCCTGTCAGCCTGTTAGCCTGTGCTAACCAGTACCTCACTGTATTTATTAGTAGGAGCTCATGTTAAATTTTAGTTCATGCTCTACCATACGGTCTTTATCGTGACCGTGTTTTAGTAGTATCAACTATTTGCCATTACTCCCGATATTACAGGCATTTAATTCAATAACTCAAAAGCAGAGGGACTAGTAAAGTTAGTAATTAATTTCAAAAGATTGTTAGATGGTTTTTTTTTTCAATTTTCGCAATTTAGTTGGTTATGATTCAATTAAGTCCATAACCTGTTAATCTGCTTGGAGTGAGTTTAGTGTTACATATATTAGTAAGGCGAAGGAAAACAAAAAAGTTTTGAATTAAATTTAAAATTTCTGTTCTACAAATGGTAGACTCCAACAACCAGTGCTGATAAAATGCAGAAAGGAGTCCCCATCGCAAAAACTTCTTTAAAATGAAACCTGGTTAAAAGTGATCCACCAATAACAGGTCCAACCATTGAGCCTAGATTGTAAGCAACGTTAACAGCATTTAAAGATACTGACATGGCTTGTTCACTATCCAGAACTTTAGTGAGTTTACCAGCTGCTAGTGTTAGAGAGTTGAGCTGAATAGCGCAGCTGCAGAGTTGTAGCAAGTTGGCAGCAAGGATGGAGAGGACGAGTTTGTTGCCTCCAGGAGGACAGATGATGGGTCCTATAAAAAGGAGGACAACTCCGCACCCGAACAGACCAGATACTAGACCTACTATAGTTAGTACGGGCCACTTTTCTCGTAACATACCAATAAAGGCCGCAGAAATGCAATAAACAATACCACTCACGCCGATTATCACACCACCAAATTGCAAGGATTTTGAAAACTCTTCCAAGTAGAACTCAGTGAGGATACCTTCAGTGTACACTGTAACGGCCCCAATACAGATCATCGGACCCCAACAGTAGACCAAGAGGTCACGAGACACGTAGAGAAGGTAAATATCACGAGTTGAAGTTACATCACTCTCCTCCGTTCTTCTGTTGTTACGAGGATAGCAACAAGCTAATATGGACACAGCAACCAGTAGTGTGATCCCAGCTACTGTCATTGACAGGGAGAACCCTATCTTGGCGTCAAGCCAGGACCCTATGTATGCTCCGATAGCTTCCCCTCCTGAGAAAAAGGCTTCCCACAATGTAGAAGATTTGCTGACGTTACCTTGGAGGTGATTTGTAATCCCTACTGCTGTTTTGTTTTTGATGAGAAAGAGTGCAGCTCCACTTGCAAACTGAGCTAGCACTGCGAGATAGAGGTAATAGTGGGGAACAGTAACCGAGTAGTAGAAGGAACAAAAACCAGCAGAACTAACCAGACCCGTGAGAGTAAGGTACAAAAAGTCGTTGAGACGGTTCATTACTGGTTGTATGAGGAGCGCTAACAGAGAGGAGGTGGCCCAAGCTGCTAATATAAGGAAGGCTTGTTGTGTTGAGAGTCCCAGGTTTAGAGACTCTGGTATCAAGATAGCTAGGGGGATGGTTTGTATTCCGCCAAGTGTCAGTGAGATAACACACAAGAGGGATGTTTTGAAGTGGTTTGGAGGGTCAGGTTGGGTGTCTGACTCTTCTTTCTGTATCAGAGGAGCATGATCGTCATGACGTGTTGGGTATTCAAGTAGCTCTGTAGCACTACTGTCTGATGCTTCACTCTTGTAGTTGTTCATAGTGTAACCTTAAGATTTAACTGTTATTGAATTTGCAAAGGGGATGAACTGTCAATAACCCAGCAATATACATTATAAAAAGCAAACCTACCAAACATTCAATCAATCGAAGTCAATTCATTAGCAAGCATTGGCTAAGAAAACGATGGAATTATTGCAGGTACCCCGACAATTGACCTCCCATGTAATTACACTGGGTCAGCGGGGCCCTTCGTTACGCCACTGGTCGTACATACAAAGATAATCTTTCGAATAAATTTTGAGCTTTCGTTCAGAAAATAATTCGGGGCCCTCAAAGGGGGGTAACAAGAAAGCGTTACATAAGCGTCTCTTCAGCCTGCTGAACATGTACTTGCCCTAAAATGCAAACAAACAATTATCACCTCCTCAGCTTGCTGAACATGTACTCACTATTAATGTAAACAAACAATTGTCACCTCCCCGCCAGTATCCCAGAGGCACAAGGTCCCATGAGTACAAGTGAATGTAAGCAAACTGGAGCACCTCTATTATAAAAGGGATATAGCTGAGAACTCTCGTGACTCAACACTCCCCCTTTTTTTTCCAAAAATGTACATATTCAACATTGTTTAACTTTAATCTTAAGCAACAGTTTAATATTAAAATGCTCTAGAAAGAGTACTGAGGTTTTTGCTATATACATACTACAATGCTCCATTCCACTCATTTTAGAGCTAACCGTTTTACTGCGTCTCTGCTGATGTTATAGACACCTGTAAAGTCAGCCGCATCCTCGAGTACACACTACACAGGCCATACAATACCGTGTACCTACCATAACACTTGAAAATACTTTTCCACTTACTTACTTTAATGTATTCTCGTAAAATTGTATCGATCCCGTTTGAATATGCGACCAGGAAAAGTGCTCTTATCAGGAAAGGAATTTACTGCAACGTTTCAATGTTACAACATCGTATTCATGATCTAAAAATATTTCTATCAAAAATTCAAAGCGTAAAAAACATATATCTGAGGCAAAATTTACTTTTAATTCAATCAACTTTATCCAAAAATTGCGTAACAAAAAAGTCATAACAAAAATTCATAACAAAATTAGTTTATACGACGACAAACTTTTATAGTTAATACCGTACAGTCCTAAAACTACTACAAGACTAAATATACTACACATGATACATAAGCATGAAATGCTACAACGGTGAACAAGTGCATCATGTGAAGTGTGACGTGTGTTATAGGTATATGTATTTAGTGTGGAGCAAAAATGGCGGGAATGGTATTGACCAATGATAAGTGTGAAACGTGGGAGCCAAATATGGTTTGATTGAGGTTAAGGGTTAGTGTGTTGGATGCAAGGCGGAAGTGTGCGTGTGTGAGAGGTGGTCCATATTGTACTGGGAAAGTGAACAAAACCTATAAATATCACTAAATATGATCACTACATGTTTAGACGATCCCCTGTCTGCAAAGTATAAAATATGTTACACCCTGTTATTAACTTGTAACTAAACTACACTGGGGTAAATTGTCACGAAATCTAGGGCTTAGTTACTTAGTACGAAAATTGACCCCCCGACAATTGACCCCCCATGTAATTACAGTGGGTCAGCGGTGCCCTTCGTTACGCCACTGGTCGTACATACAAAGATAATCTTTCGAATAAATTTTGAGCTTTCGTTCAGAAAATAATTCGGGGCCCTCAAAGGGGGGTTACAAGAAAGCGTTACATAAGCGTCTCTTCAGCCTGCTGAACATGTACTTGCCCTAAAATGCAAACAAACAATTATCACCTCCTCAGCTTGCTGAACATGTACTCACTATTAATGTAAACAAACAATTGTCACCTCCCCGCCAGTATCCCAGAGGCACAAGGTCCCATGAGTACAAGTGAATGTAAGCAAACTGGAGCACCTCTATTATAAAAGGGATATAGCTGAGAACTCTCG